CACTGCACTGTGTGCGTGTTGGCTGAATACCATCTCCTTTAAACCATTTAAAGTTCTAAATAACAATGAAAGTTCTGAACTCAGTGAAGTTGTGATGCTCCATTTTTTGCTGCTCTGGATGTTGTAGAGTTAATTCCTAAAGATGTGGAGCAACAGGGTGACAGTGTCGCTCTGTTCTCTCAGTTTCCAGCGTAAAGTGGAGATGTTCCATGAAGGGATGCAGAGCGGCATGTTTGGAGATGACGACGACGGATACGTGTCCAAAACAATCGCCATGGTCAACTGCTGCCCTCCTTTCCGGTATGCATCAATCCTAGTTGGTTTAAATATCTGCTCAGAAAAACTGTGCTTCCATACAAGGACAGTTTATATGAGGACACATTTAACTGTGTGTCTGATTGCTACATGTTTTATCACCAGGATGGTTTATTTTTTTGTCTTATCTTGAAGAACATTATGCTAATGTTTTCTGTACTTTGTTTATGGTTGGAAATAATTTGATAATGTGATGAATGAATTATTAAATGACATTGTTCCACAATATTGGGCATGTTTTGGAAATACTGATTTAGGGCGGTAAATTAGGAGTTAATGGGGCCCCAGAAGCCTCAGTTTGTTGTTGAAATGATTTAACTTCAGTTTTCTCCAGTGTTTTGCTGTATAAGCTCCCGAACCACCAGCATAGTTTATTACTGCAATATATCTCATTGCTTGCTTTGTTCCAGTTAAGAGCTACTGGGATTAATAAATCCAGATTGTGTAATTCTGCATAAAAGTCCCCTGAAACCATAAACTGGCAGGAAACAGAAAACTGAATGTGACTTCACAATGTCTATTTGTTCTGAAAGTCCATTTGTGTTTTTTTAAGTGAAATTTATATTCTGAGATAAATAAAAAAATTTGGCATAATTTTTGTTACAGGGAAAAGTGAGTCCCTATAAACACCCTAAAAGTCACAGTGGTGTCATGAACCAGGAATGCCTGTATGAGTGTGTCTGTGTGTGCACACAGACCTAACTTGTTAGGTCTGTGTGCACACACATACACATACACTGTGTGTGTGTGCGTTTGTTTGTAATACCTTGAGGGGACCATGCTTTGGGAAATGCTGTTTTTGGGTCAGGCATCAGATTTAGGAATAAGGTGTAAATTGAGTTTTGGTTTGGTTTAAGGTTAGGTATGTAATGGTTAGGGTTTAGGTGTAAGGAGTCAATCGAGTTTAGGTTAGATTTAGGTTAATGTTCTAGGTTAGGCTATAGAAATGAACGGAAGTCGATGTAAACTTGTGATGATAGAAAGATGTAACGCGTGTGTGCGTGTGTGTGTGTGCGTGCGTGCGTGCGTGCGTGTGGTGTGTGTGTGTGTGTGTGTGTGTGTGTGTGTGTGTGTGTGTGCGTGCGTGCGTGCGTGTGCGTGTGTGTGCGCGCGTGCAGAGGCTTCGTGCAGCGCTGTGCACAGTGTGATCCATCAGTCAGTGAGGACTCTCTGCGGCGAGCCAACAAGTCTCTGGACCACATCGTCCAGCAGGGTGTCAGGGTTCTGTCCGAGCGACTCTACCTGCACATCAGGGTACCACACACATACACACATACACACAATATTTACAGAGAAACTCAGAAATCACTGCTCCATTTAGAACTGATGTTTTATTTCTCTTATTTATTTCTGTTTGTTTTACGTCTCTGACTTCCTGCCTGTTCTCTTGGTAATGAAACTCATCCGCCTTCAGCACCTCCACCCCTCCAGCTTCATGTTTGTCATTCCAGTAATAGAAGAGCTGATTGTGTTGATTTAGCATTTTAAAACATCTAGCGGCTAAATATCTGAAGTGATGATGATGATTTTAATGTTGATGATGATGATGGCTGTACTTTTGCAGCTGTTCTTTGAGCGCCTGGTGAAGAGGAAGTGGCTGACCAACGCGGAGCCGTACGATCAGATCGAAGCCGCCATCAAGGATGATTTTAAGAAATATCGCAGGATGGACAATCCTCCCTATCAGGTAGCACGGTTACTATGGTTACAGGTTTTTGATTGTCGTTTAGTTTTATTTTGTTGTTTGTTTGTCGAATCCAGTTTGGTCTAATTAGTTTTTAGAGTGTATTTGCTGGTTTTATTAGTTATTATTAGTGATATGTTGTTCAGTTTTTTTTGTTTAGAACTCAGTTTTATTTTTTTTCTTATTTTAGATCATTTTTAGATTTTGGTTAATTAACTGAAAAAACATTATTTATCCAGTTATTGTTGAACAACCATCTGTTTTTGCTGTCGCCATTTTGTGTGCTAGCATAGCGTAGCATAGCCGCCAGAAGGAGAACGGAGCGCCATAATTTGCCGACAGCTGACATAAACCGCCTGAATGGGAAAAAAATCTACTTCACATCAATTCAAAAGGCTGAAGAATAGATTCATAAACATAAAAACTATGGATATTATGTCTATAATTACAATTTGTTATAGTTGCAATAAACGCACATTTATTAAACTAATTAAAAATTAGTTACTTTTTTAAGCTGACGTTTAGTTTATTCTAACTGAATAATCATCATTAGTTGTTTCTTCCATTACTTACAGTTTTAATTCATTTCAGTTGCTTTCTCAGTTTCAGTTTTTGCTGCTGTTTGTTTTATTTAACTGAAATAACCTCGGTGTGAGAGGTGCTGCTACAGCGCCCCCTGTAGGCTGGAGTCGTTGCATTTATCTACGCCGTTTGTCCCTCAGCTGCTGGTGGCTGAAGTCCACCGGCGGGTGGTGATGGAGTACCTCCGCTCCATCATGAGGGGTCGGATCATCTGCACCTCCATGAAGATGAGGAAGAGGATGGCCGGCCGGCTCCGAGACGAAGGGAAGCAGATCAAAGCGCTCTTCAAAGACCTGGTGAGTCCTGAAGGAAGATCTCAGCATCTTCTGGTCTTTGAAACCTGACGTCGCTACACCCAAGAAAGAAACCAGGGTTGCAAGATCTGACCATTTCCAGCTCAACAACATAAACTCCAAAAAACAAGCATTCACGATAGCTCCAGAAAAAGTGATTGAATAACAAATATTTAAAGGGACCAGACTTTGATGATAATTCGTATTTTTGGTTTATAACCAGAAAACATTGAGACTCCAACCGACTCAACTCTTTAAACGCAATGAGACTTTAACTTTGTGTGGCGACATTACCTTTTAAATCATAATGTTGGGATTTCTGTTTTACATTCTTACCACATAGTGACACGTGATGATGTCACACGCAGATTCTAGAAATTTTAAAATAAACTAAATAATAAGTGCAGCAACGCAGCATTTTATTAAAAGTTTTGTGCATTTCTGCCACATGACCAAGATTTTTAAAGAATTTTCCTCTAAAACTTTTTTTAAAAGCCCAACAAATGTTGTGAAAAGCAGCTCAGATTTAAATATCCCACCCAAAGCAACCGAATCTGGCAGTGCTGACAGAAAGTAGCCGTGTCCCGGAGCTGCGGCGCCCTCTTGTGGATGAAAACTCTGAGAATCGTCTCATTCTAAGAGCCTGAGCAGGAAGTGTCCAGATGAGTGTGTCTGTGTGTGTCTCAGGAGTCTCCGTCCAGCTGGTTGGACGGCGCGCTGTCCCACATCTCAGAGCTCATCCAGCTGGAGGACGTCCCGTCCATCCAGATGGAGGTGGGAGTTCTGGTCAGAGAGTTTCCAGACGTCAGGTACATGAACCGTTCCTCCAGCGATGAGCTGACTCCAGCAAAGTCATTTATTCTGAACTGCAGACTGAAAATCTGCTGAAGTGAAATAATATTTGACTCAAAGTGAAAAGGTTCTGCAGAACCGCTCCTCCCAACGAATCTCCTCTCTTCGCTCCGCCTTCAGGAAGAAGCACGTGTCGGCCATCTTGAACATCCGCGGGATGACCCGGCAGGCGGAGCGCCAGGAGATCCTGAACATCGTCAAAGACATCGAGAGCGACGGCGGACCGGGCCCGCTGTCCCGGGACCGGGCCCTGTTCGCCGAGGTTCCGGTCACCTCCGAGGTCCACTGCCTGAACGTGGGTCTGAGCCGGATCGCCCTGACCGCCTCGTCCTGCGTCAGCGCGCTCAGACCGCGCCGCCGCAAAACCAGAACCGCCACGCAGGAGAACCCGGACGATGCTCTGTAACCGGGCTCAGAACCAGCAGAACTCCCTCACTTTTATGACCAGCTGCGATCTGCTGGTCCAGATGGTCGAAACCGGATCTGGAGTTTATGCTGCTTCTGGACCCTGGTTCTGTTGCGGTTCTGACTGAAATGGAAACAGACGTTTTGTTTCCCAAAGCCTCCGAGGTTCTGACCCAGACTGGACCAGATCGGACCTCCTTCAGGATCAGAACTAACCCGACCCGGTTAGAGATGAAGACCAGAGGCTGGTTCTGTTCTGAACTGGAAACCAGAATCGGTGCCAGCAGGACCAGTTGAACCCGCTGGTCCTCCTGCAGAACCTCTGAAAAAGAAGCACTTTATTTGGAACCAGAACCAGGAGAACGGATCTTTGTGATCTCAGCCCGGCTAAGATGGACTCAGAACCTGGAACCTGGGATCCGGACGGGCAGATTCAGGATTTACAAAGTACAAAGATAAAAACTGAAAGTGCTGAGTCGGCAGACTGCGGATCGGGTCGGTGTAGGAGAACCTGGTGCCGAACCTGTCAGATAAAATCACCAGAACGGCGTGATCCGATCGGACCTCTGGATCCCAGTTCGATTCAAACAGGAAGTGACGGCGTTTTAGCGCCAGACTAAAAAAAAACATTTAGTTACGACAATAAAGTTGCTTCAGATCATTACAACGTTAATGTTGCTTTATCCTCATAATTTATGTTTTTTCTTAGCCTGGTCGCAGAAATCCGTCGTTTTTGGAAACTATTGCGTAGATTGTTTTTCTCAGTTTTTCACCTTTAGTTTGTGTGTTGGGGTCAGAGTTCACTCTGACCCCAACACACAAACATCGTCAGCAAAATGTCTTTTAATGAAAAAATGCACGATGCAGGTAATCAGCAGTAGTGGGCACATTTCTGCTAATGTGCTAATAGCGGAGCTAATTTTATCTTTTGGCACGTTTGCTAGCTTTGACACATTAGCTTCCCCTTAATCACATTTTCCAGATAAATTCTGAAGCTAATATTTTGATTTAGAAACATTTGGCTGAATAATTTCAACATCTATGTGGCAGTTTTGGTTCTCAAATTCTTCAGCAATTAGGTGAAGATATTCATGCTTTTATTTTGAAGTTTACCAAAATAAAACATGTTTTAGAATATGTATGTAAATGATAATGTTGGTGTTTGTAGCCTTTCAAGGGAAAATATTTGAATTGAAATTAGCACTTTGGTATTAGCTCATGCTAAGCAACATGTTAGCACAGCACATTAGCTTCTGCTAAGTACTGTGTTGGTGAAACGATTCAGCAGAACTGATGATTATTATTAGAATCTTACGCTTAGTGCGGCTAGCGTAGCAGTTAGTGGTGCCCATCACTGGTAGCTAGTCAGCATTTTATTTTAGCATCAAGAACATTTAGGATAGTGCTGTTGTTCAGCTTTGAGTTGACACCTCATCTCCCTCAGTCAGGGTGAATTTAGAGTCAGAGCGCCACCTAGTCTAGTTAGCCTGAGCTACTGCAATGTTAGCATGAGCTACTATTACGTTAGCATGAGCTACTGCAATGTTAGCATGAGCTTCTGCGACATAGCTCATGGTAACATTGCTACTGTAACATTAGCATGCAACGCTCATATTCTGGGACTTTTGTCCCATTCTTGGCTTAGTTTCATGACCTTTTGTCCTTTTTCATGTCTATAAAACAATTTTAATACGTGATTTACAAATTCACATCTTAATCCAGAAGGTTTTAATGTTATTTCCAATAATTGCTAATAAAATGTGATTAATATTAGATCCTCTGCTGGCCGCCCAGAGTTTTGTCCCGTTTGGTTGATGATCCCAGGAAACATCCAGACATCCAGAAACTGGTGCGTCTGAGTTTTCCTGAAGTTCACAAGAAAAGAAAATGAATAGTTGAATCTAATCAAAGGTACTTGATGTTGAGTTTCTGTATTTAAAGCATTAATTCTAGCGTTGAAGCTTCTGGGTGCAACGACGAAGTTTATTATGTTTTATTTTTTCAGCTGTTTGATTCATGACGTCTGTTTGATTTAGATGCAGAGAAATGAAAATAACATTTTAAATTCAAACGATTTAGGATATTTTTATGTTTTTACTGTCGAGTTAAAACATTTGAGAAAGTCTGAGCAGCTTCTTCTAGTTTCATCAACATTTCTGAGCTGAGACTGAATTCAGATTAACGGCACATTTCTCTGCTGCTATTACTTTATGTTGAATGTTTGGAATAAATCGTTTGTCCAGAAATAAGATTAACAAGACAATAAAATCAGATTAAATCATGCTGTCTTTTATTTACCTCGTGTTCAGATCTGGTGTAAAATGATTGGTTTAAATTTTTTATTAATGCTGAAATGTTTGCCTAACATGAAGATGCAAGAAAATTTTAGTTTGAAAATCCATTTGTTTTAAATGTAAAAAAAATTATGCTGAAAAATTTTTGAAAAACAAAACTTCTTTTAAAATAGTTTAATCTTTTTCTAATTCAAAGAATTTTTTAACCATTTTTTCTTTTGTCTCAAACTGTTGTCACAGCGACTGACAGTATGGAGATACATAAAGTTTGTTCAAAATAATAAAAGAACTTATGAAATGATGAGACTGGAATGAAATTTTGAAAATGAAAAATAAATTTTAAACAAAATTATTGTAAATTCAAAAACAAGTTTGAAATCTACTTTTCAAATCAATTTCAGTTTTAAAGAATTAAAAAAATTGAGTTTAAAAACAATTTTTTTAGTCTGATTATTTTTTTCAGCATCTTTTATTTTCAAATAAAAGAAAAAAAGAAAAAACTTTATGGGCTCGATTTAGTTCCATAATGTCCGTCATGATTCTCCACCTTCTGTCCTCTGAGGAGACAAAAAGGTCCAGAAATCTGAAACTAAACAATCCAGAAATGTATGGAGCTAAAATGGAACCATAAAGTTTGTTCAAAAACAAAACAAAACGAAACTGAAAATAGTTTTGAAACTGACGAAAAATTCAATACTACTTTTCACATTCAAGTATTGTTTTCCGGTTTCAAATGCATTTCTTCAGCTTTTAAGTAATTTCTCAGTTTAAAATGTTGCTTTGTTGTGGATTGAGAAACAGGGAGTCTCAAAATTCGCACACAAATGCAGCAACAGGCCAGAATCAGCTGGTAAATCAAGATATTTTTATGTTTGCATCAAAAATAGAAATGTGAATCCAGGGCATTTGTGAATTAGGAGACGTTTTTAGCTCAATAAAATTTCATCTTTTGTGGTTTTAAGATTTATGAATAAAGAACAAAAATCCAGATCAACATTTTGATGCAGTTTATTGGGTTTTCCATCCAAAGGAAGTAGAAATGTTTCAGGAGTGTCAGTGGGAAGTTTCCTCCTACAGACAATAAAATATAACCAGCAGCTTCAATTAGAATAAAAACAAAATAAAAACAAAGGGATCATGGGAAATGTAGTCTTACAACAGTTATTCCTCCAGAGTTTGTTCATAAATCTAAATTTCAGTCACTTTGGGCATTATCCAGTTTATAAGTGCGCTTCACAACTTGAGAAATTGTGAGAAATCCATTATTTGTTAGGTAACTACTTTATTTTGGCGGAGGATCAGGATGGGGTTACATCCTGTCATCATTTACCAAAATAAGAGACAAAAATGAAATAGCACCAGCATTAATTTGAAGTCTAAATAAATACTGAAATTTACAGAAAACTAATAAAACAGTTGAGATCAAACATATTTACAGGTCACTAAGGAATCCAACAGAACCAGAACCAGAAAACTGAACAGAAGTTCCTGGTTTTTCCTTGTTTTGGACCTCCGGTCTTTTCTGCTGCTCATCATTCTGAACTTTGAGTTTAAAACTGATTATTTTGTTTTACTCTGAAAATCCTGAACACAAACACACATGAAGTTCTTTCTACTGGTTCATAAACATTAAAGCCGATCAAAGATATGAAAAAAGTATTCACAGCTTTCCATACAACACAAAACAGCGACTTGTTTACCGTTGCTGCCTCCTAGCCAACCAATCAGAGCGGTCACCGGTGCAGCTGGGGGCGGGGCTTAGCGCCTGAGAGAAAGGTCACAGCAGCCAATGGGCTGCCAGGGTCAGGCGCAAGGCTCCGCCCTGATGATGGACATAAATACACAGCAGAGACCGACACAACTAGCTTGCTAAAGGAAGGTTAGTATGTCTAAAGCTAACACCTGAACTTTGACCCCAGATCCCAACGGAGCTGAAAAGGAGGAAGTTCAGACCATCTCTTCCCTCCATCGTGACGGCCAATCAGAGACCTTTGGCAAACAAAATGGATGAAGTTCAAACTCCAGAGTTTCAACTGACTTTAGGGTTGGATCCCCTACTCCAACATCTTTCTGACCAAACGGCCAGGCAGAGACTTAGAGAGGAGCAGCAAAGCAAAGGAAGTGGATTAGCATCGCTAGCTAACAACTGATGATGTCACCCAGGATATGTTGCTGTGGAATATCATCTCTGCCTGCGTGTTAGCATGTTAGCATGTCACACAGCAGCAGTCTTCAGTCAGATGCCTCTGCAGAATCGTTGGAACCCTGACTGCTACTGGAGATCCTTCCTGCCTGCAGCATCACTGTCAGAAACTACATTTCATTTCTCTATGGGATCAATAAAGAATTTTGAATTAAAATGAACTGAATGAACAAAATATGAGGATAAAAACCAGAAAAACATTGAAGGTGAATCGTGTTAAACAGGAAAATATTGGCCAACATTTAAAAAAACTTTAAACTCCGTTTTTAGCTGGAACTAAACTGTGAACTTTTAAAGCTCTTGCGTCTCTGTTTCTGGCCATGAAGTGAACTTCAGAGAAGGTTCTGGTTCTGATCCGGTTTAACACCTAATGAGGGAAAACTGAGAGAAAGGAGGACCTGAAATCACTAAAGCTCTTGATTTTGTTTTGCTTGTGACTTTTTGACCTTTAATCTGATTAAATTTGACTCTAATACTCATGACTCAGCATCCAATAGTTTTTATTCTCTAATTTGTTTTAGTAAAATCCGCCTGCAGGAAGTCAGCACACGCTCGGCCATTTTAAAAATTAAAACTAAATATTTTTCCAGTCGCCATGTTGGTGCCACTGCTCCCACTCGCTCCTGATCAGCATTTCGGCAGCTGGGACCTCCCCTTCAAAATAAAAGCCTCATTCGCACCCCGCCACCATCTTTAAGGCGCCAGTCTCTCTAGCGCCGCTCTGCTGCGCCTCACATGCGGATGCAGACGCTGCACTGGGCGACGTGCGCCCTCTGCTGGTCGGAGTCGGTCAGCGCCCCCTCAGTGCCGCTCTGGGTGGTCAGCCAGAAGCTGTAGATGTTGGCGAAGAAATGGCAGGTTCCCCGCGCGCCCTGGCACTCCACGAAGGGCTGAGCTTTGAACTGCGACAGGCAGCTGCCTGGCGAGGTCAGAGAGAGGCCACCGCCCTCATCACCACCACCTGAAAACTACACACACACACACACGAACACACACACACACACACGAACACACACACACACACGAACACACACACAGACACAGAGAGAGAGGATATTTAGGCAGAAAACTGTTTTAAAACTATTTTCTCTATTAAGTGAACATCTGCACTTCAAAAGTTTGAACTGTGCCTTTAAATGTGTCTTCATGTTTTAATTTCACAAATCCTCCAGATTTCCTGCCAGAGCAGACCGCTCCAAAAGCAGGAAGTGGTATTCTGGGTAAATGCAACCAAAGCTAATGTGTTAGCCTAGCGGTCAGCCAAAGACTAAAGAGAAATCCTCCAACATAAACTCTGACGTCTCCATCTTGGTTCATCTGGTGAAGCAGGAAGTTACTCTCGGCATCTTCAGAGGTTTTTGTGTCGTTTTCTGCAGTGGTTGTTGGTGCAGCGCCCCCACAGGCCAGGAGGGGAACAGGCTGGTTGGACTCAGAGCCACAGCAGCTGCAGGTGGAGCAGATGGTTCTGGTTCCAGTAGAACCGGGTCGAACAAGGAAATCAGCCTAAAAATAACATTTCCTTTAACTAGATCCATTCTACGGAGGCATCAGTCATCTTCCATGCCGGTGGACAGCATCGCCCCTCCCCATACATGAAGCTGTTGCTGAACTGCGGGGCTCCATCAGTGACGGACTGCTGCATCCTAAATGGACTAATCAGCATTATCAAAGATTCTTCCTGTTAGATTCCTAACAATCTCACCAAATATTCCCACAGCTGATATCTGCATGACTTCAGCGTGAATCTTCATCATTTCTTTCCTCTATATGCATCATCTGTCCTTTTTCTGTTCTGTTGCATCATTTGATTTTATATTGAACTCCAGTAAAGCATCTTTGAGTTCTAAAAAAAGCATTACATAAATAAAATATTATTATATCATCTGCCTATTTTGGCTGAGTTTTGGACGCCAGCAGTCATTGGACGAGAGGCAGCGGACAACCTGGGCTTGTTACCACAACAACACAGAGACACAAAGGACAAACAACCAGAGGGTGACCGATGAACCTCTCTGCCATGTATTTTACCCAGCATGCCTCACCATGATGAAGGAGTATCCGGTCCACAGCCGGCTCCAGTGGGGGGGACAGCGTGGCGGCTCTCTGGAGTTGGGGTCATGCATGGCCACGGCAGCAGAGGGCGCCTCACACACCACGCAGCGGCTGATGTACTCCTTGATGGTATCTCCACTGAATGGATTGTCTGGATGCGGCATCATCGTCGACAGCCAATAGGATTTGTCATTTCGATTGGCGTATTTGCACTTTTTGGCCTCGCAGACGGAGAACGGTAAGGTGGAGAACAGGGGAACGCAGGAACCGGCCTGACCTGGGAACATGCAGGAGAATCGGATCACTGCGCATGGCCACGCTGATTTCTGCACCAAAACTGCTTCTCCTCCAAGCAGGAAAAAGTTTACCAGGATGTAACGGCACTGCGGAGGAACCTGCTGGGATGAAGACCTGAGGACGTCTGTAGAGGATCTACATACATCTCCTTACCCAGATCCTGGGAGTACGCCTTCTCCTGGCCCTCCAGGTACAGCAGGCTGTATCCAGTCCAAAGCAGATGCGTATTCGGCGGACATGTTGGTTCATTGCTTGATTGGCTGTGTTTCACCAACAGGAACCCTGGTTTGGTGCCTCCGGCCGGCCCCGGTAGACCTGGGTCACCAGGGGGACCTGGATCACCTGCAATACACAGAGAAATGGCAGGTGATAAAGCCAAGCACTGATTGGTCAGGTTGTGTTTGAGCAACACTTTAAGGACTTTGGAGCAACAGAATGCGTTACGTCTTTGAAGAAGTTAAAGATTATGAATGTAAACATCAAGCTTTCCGATATAAGGAGCAACATTAGGGCCAAAAATAAGACTATTCACCCAAAGCGCAGGAGGCTGTTTCCATTTCCTACTGATTTGATGAAAGATCAGCAGGAAATGAGCAACTAGCACTGACAAATGAGAAGTAGAGCACTATTTGAAGGTGAGACGTCTTACCTCTTTCTCCCAGAACTCCGTTCTCTCCAGGCTGGCCTGGCTCTCCCATCTGTCCCGGGGAACCTTCTCGCCCCTGGCGTCCTATTACTCCATCAGCTCCAGGATCCCCCTTCATTCCTGAAGAACATTGTCAACCATCAGGAAAATCAGATGCAATCAGATCCAAACTGGCCTTTCAGACCGAGTTCCTCACCATTTCTACCTCTGGGGCCAATTTCGCCCATAAGGCCCCAATCTCCGCTAGGTCCAGGGCGGCCAGGTGGCCCTCTAGGGCCCCTAATCGGTCGGGACGGAGGGCCATTTGAGAAAATTCGGCCTTTCTGCCCCTTTGGCCCATCTGATCCTTTGCATCCAGGCCTTCCTTTGGGCCCTGGGTAACCTGGGTGACCCCTCGCACCCTGTTCTCCAGGGATGCCCAGGAAACCCAAGTCGCCTCTCATACCTGATCAGACAAACATTTATTAGTCGCCTTTAACCAATCAGGGTGAACCATAATGTTTGGTTTATCCTGACTCTAAGACCGGTCCATCTGAGATCAGCTAGCATGCCAGCTAACATCAAGGAAACAAGATGAAAGTCGGAATCAATTGGCACATTGTCACGTGACACACTATTGGCCATTGTTTTCAAAGCAGCCAATCGAAGAGTCCCATTTGTTTTCCTCAGCTCTGATTGGCAGTATCTGCAACACTGAAACTCTCAGAACCACCAACCAGAGACTGGTTAGAGGTTTGGGGTTCTTTGCTGATGGGGTTTAGGGCAGCATAGTGGAACCAGTCGTCTGTGGTCTGGAGATGTTGATCAGTCAACCTGAAAGTTCAACTTGATCCTCACAAAACAGACAAACTGAGAACCATCAGGATTTATGACTTAACTTCACCTTAAAAGCTCTGAAGCCTCAGATTTCCCCCAGTTTTCCCTACAGTGTCTCCATTCAGCTTCATAAGAACCAGCACCAGAACCTCGGTGCTGATGGTGTAAGCAGTCTGACCTTTGGGCCCTTGGTTTCCAGGGTTGCCTGGTGGTCCGGGTGGCCCTGGATATCCACGGGGTCCTTTTGGCCCTGAGTACCCTGGATCACCGGTGTCTCCTTTGTTCCCACAGTTTGGTGTATTTGGACCAGGATCTCCCATATCACCAGGACAACCTGCAAGGTCAGCGCCAGGTGAGTGTCGGATTAGATTCAGACTGAAATTCCTTCAAGAGGAAAAGTTAAAAGTAATGGCATCACTGACCTGGATCTCCATCTGGGCCCATGTCACCAGGATCCCCATATGGCCCCGGTTTGGGGTTTTTACAGTTGCTTCCAGGTGGACCCGGCGGTCCATCATCACCTGGAGACCCTGTAAGACAAACACACAGGTGAACCGTTTACAGTCAGGTTTGGTTTGTGCAGCACAAATTCATTTGTATTACGAGTCATTGCAGACCTTTGGACCCTGTTGGGCCTTTGGGTCCTGGTGGGCCGATCTTGGGTGGACAAGAGGGACCTGGAGGACCTGGAGGACCTTTAGGGCCTGGAGGGCCTGGACGGCCTTTTTCACATTTACCGTTGCCTGGACATACACCTGAGGATGACCAGCATTCAGAGGAAGTTATGAGAAAGTCCAGTAGCTAAATGAGAAGCAACCTGTAGTAACATGGAGCCCAGTGAAAATCTGTGGTTTCATAGTTCAAGACAGGACACAAATATATTAAAATAAAACCTTTATTTACTATTGCACAACATTGGTGATAGCTATGGATTTTATATTCTTGTTTCTGAAATAAATACACTAGTATTTTTCTTTAATATTTAATATAAATATTTACATAATATGAAGAAGGGTAAATGTAGCTGTTAAGTAATTTGATTACTTGGTAATTAAAACTGTATTGTTTGTAAATCGACTAAGAGCATTATTTTATGTAAATATTGCAATTGAAAGAAGTAGTAGCGTGACGTAAGATGCGAGTGTATTTTGTTTGGCTTTATCATTTGATTGGTCCCTGAGACAGTGCGTCCGGTGCGTGATTCGTGATTGGATGAGAGAGGAGGAGGCGGGAGGAAGAAGGAGAGGAGAACCGTGATGGTGGAGACCGGAGCGGAGGCGACCGGTCAAGAAGTGAGGAAATACAGACTCCAGGGAGAGAAAACCGGACAAAACACGGGAGAGGACGGAGTTCGGGAGAAGTTGGAGGAGCTTGGTCGACGCGAGAGCGACGAGAGGAGACAGACGGAAGGAGACGAGCTTTGAGCTAAGCTAAGTGAGCTAGCCGCTTCAGCCCCTCGGTTCTGCTGCGTTCAATGGCCGTCGGGAGGAAAGAACGACGGAATTTTTTTAGTTAGCAGTGCAGTCTCAATGTTTTTTCCTCTGGGATTTCAACTCCTCGCTGTTTCCTAACAGACCTGCAGAGTTTTTCCTGCTCTCCCGGAGGTTGTGAGTAACAAGCTGACTGCGTTACACGTGTTTTGGACTGTATATTGAAATAACTGGACGTTTCTTATTGTGCCCTGGTTCGAGGGGAAAGGTGGCCATTAATATTTTATTTGTTCTGCCTCATGTAAAGCGGTATATGTTCTGTAAATCTTACTGAAATCTACTTTCACTTTAGTTTAATAAAGTTAAGCTGAATCATTTTGCCAAACATCCTGATGTTTCTCTGAGTCACATTTGTCATCAACCTCGTCCCTCCATTTTAGTTTTCTCCCACAGAATAGTTAATGGTGCTCCAAACTGTAACAGGCCTGTTAGCTGCAGTTTGAGCTGTAGCCCCAGTGTGCAGCTTAGTTTGGTGGTTTTTAAAAGTAAAATCCAGCAAAAGAGAACAACAAAACACATCAGAACAATCCTTTACAGTGGTTAGCACTGCTAACTAAAAAACTAACTGCAAATCATGATGATCTAAACATACATTAGTTCAGCTAACGCTAAAGCGCTAGTGTTCAATTGAACTATATTCACAGGAAAGTTTGCAAAACAGGTAATTAAAATGTGTTTTTCTGTTTTCCTTCTTAAAATATGTTCAGTGTTCCTCACACCTTTGGACCCCTTGGAACCTTTCCGTCCACTCAGTCCATCTAATCCATGAAGACCTGATGCCCCTGGAGTTCCTGAAGAAACAAAAATAAATGATTTAAAAAAGGAAACCAACCTGTGGCATCCATTTTTGTTTGGCCTTGGTGTGCCTCAGGGTTCTGTGTTTGGCTCACAGCTGATATTTTTCCTTCAGAACTCTGGTTGATTTGAGCCAAATGGATTATTCACACATAAACTTTTTGTGAAAAATATAATCTAGTTCAGGGGTGTCAAACTCATTTTTGTTTTGGGCCAAATTAAGATCATGAAGGCTCTTAAAGGGCCGGTTGTGCCAGAATGTGTTGATAAAACCTGTTCACAAATTGTTAATATGTCAATGAATATTTAAAATTACATAATATTATTGAACATCTTTTCAGTCCCTTCAGGAACTAATAATGAATGAGGCTTTTTATTTACTCGCTGTATAAATCATGAAGTATAATCATACATCAACTAAATTCTCAAGAAACTGGAGGGACTGATTGATATAAATTGGCAGTAAACAGATAAAAACTGCATTGATATGATAATATAATATTTAATCACACTTAGTGTTTAGTCTAGACTGTAGAGGGCCACATAAAAAGCTACGGCGGGCCGGATTTGGCCCCTGGGCCTAGAGTTTGACACATGTGATCTAGATGGTCTGAAAAGTCACTAATATGGTGACAAAGTCCTGAAGTTGGCAACGCCTCGTTTATCCCAACAATTAGTCCCTAATCTCTTGGCTTTGCCCACTTTGGTGGAATTTTTCGGCATTTGTCTGAGGGCCGGGTTTTGCTTTCACAGGGCGGTTAGACTCACTGAGTTGGACTTTGTGGTTCCAACATTTTACAGTCTTGAATCGTGGGAACTATATCACTAAAAACAGCATCCATGTGTTTTCATTACTTTATGTGTTCATCTTTGAAAGGTTTTGACCTTTGTTTCCTGGGTTACCATCCCTCCCCGGGGGACCGTCCGCTCCATCTCGACCAGGAGGCCCTCGAAGCCCCAGGTAACCTCTGGGCCCTGGAGGACCAGCCACACCTGAAGGAGACAACGTCTCTGAGTCACCATGATCCCAGGTCCTCCTCCTCCACTTCCATCACAGATTTAGGAAGGTCTTTGTACCTGGTTCTCCGGGGTATCCTTGTGATCCTTTGTGCCCCTTGCATCCTTTCTGTCCTTGTGGCCCAGAGATGCCTTTGGGCCCCTGATCTCCTGTAGGGCCACTAGGGCCTGAGAGGCACGAAGCAGATCATTAATGAAATGGGTTTTGGCAGTCTTCCTAAAAAACAAACAATTTTAAAGTAGATTGTCACCATCAGGGCCTCGGTCCCCAGGATGGCCCTTATCTCCAGGTGGCCCAGGCCCACCAAAGGCATCTCCGTTTTCACCTGAAACGCAGAAAGTCGTGTTGAAACCAACCAGTGTTGCTTAATTATGCAGGAGGAATCAAAAATAATCCCTGGTAAAGTGAAGTAAGACTTTCTGAGTCATGGCGATGTACTCAGCAGGTACCTTTAGGTCCACGATATCCTGGATTACCAGGTCTTCCAGGGGGGCCCGGATATCCTGGGTCACCCTGTAGCCAAACCAGAGGTCATTATGTTTTCTGACCATCAGACAGTTTTTATTTATGAATAAAACTTCTGTTTTATTCTAGCAGGATCATAAACTCTCTGATGATGGATGGATGGATGGACCTCTCTAACAACTGTCCCTTGATTTATTCCAGCCAGTATAACACCAACTGGATCCAACCTCAGACCTCTATATTCTGTCTGACCCAACAGAACTCTCAGTGACTGTCTCAGTTCTAGCTCTAGGAAACTCATCTCACCGGTTCTCCATTCAGCCCAGGAAATCCGAAGTATCCTTGATGTCCTTTGGTTCCTGGAGGTCCAGGTGGGCCTTGCTTACCCTGGGGCCCTTGGGGTCCCTGAGATCCCTTACAACCTGGGATTCCATCGGGACCTGGATACCCAGTATTCCCTGGGTATCCACTCACACCTTTGTCTCCTGTGGAAAAGACAAAGCTGATACTAAAGAGATCAAAGCAGAGGATGAGAGCTGGATGGAAATCTGACCGTCAGGTTTCCAGCCAGCTGCTTATAGAGTTTTATCAGAGGGAAGCAAACAGTTCTTAGAGTCATCTGAACTGCTGACGGTTTCAGTCTTTTTCCACTAGATCTGGACAGAGGGGTCCGTCTTCAGCAGGGGTCTCCAACCACAGTCCTCCAACTGTCCAACGCAGCTGAATCACATGACTGAACTACCTGCCATCAAGTTTGGTAAAGGCCAAGTAATGCTGCATCCAAACCTGCAGGACGGTAGCTCTGGAGGACTAGAGTTGGACATTCTTGTCCTCTGTTATCTAAGATGGAACCAGAGTTTGATCAACTGGGAGACTTTCACAGATTTCTCTCACCTCGTGGTCCGGAGAATCCGTGCTCGCCGGGGCGTCCTGGTGGTCCTCTTGGGCCCTTCTCAGGTATTTGAATGAGTTCTCCTGGAGGACCGGCACAACCTTTGTTACCTGCAGGAGGACACATGTTGTCTATAATCTGTAGCAAGTCAGCAAAAACTGCAATCTGGATGCGGAACATGATCCTGGTATTGTACGGTTTAATCCGTAGTACTAAAACTACCGTAGCACCTTTTGTTCCCTTTGGGCCAGCACAACCCCGATCTCCATCTTCTCCATTAGGTCCCCGCTCTCCGGGGTTGCCTGGGCCTCCAGGATTGCCCTGGTTTCCTGGAAAACCTGGCCTTCCTTCAAAACCCCCGGGTCCAGTCAGACCTACGACAGGATCTCAGTGAAGGACTTCGAACAGAAGAACTTTCCTTCAGCCGTGTTTCTGGTAGGAACTCACCTTTCCCACCAAAGGGCCCCATTGGGCCAGTGTCCCCAAGAGGGCCTTGGGGCCCCTTACATCCTTGTTTTCCTGGAGACCCTGGAACTCCAGGTTCTCCCATCTTGCCTTTTGGACCAAAAGCTGGGAGCCCTTTATCCCCAGGTTCACCTCTATAACCTAAAAAAATGAAGTTAGATTGACTGATCAGCACAGAAAATGACTGAAGCACAACAAATAAAGACAAGTCAAGAAAAAAAAAAGGTAAACGATTACCGCAAGGGCCACGAGGTCCCTGAGGGCCACGAGGTCCCTGAGGGCCTGGGGGGCCCTCATCAGGCCTCCCCGCCTTACAGTCGTCTGATGTGGGTCCCTGGGGGCCTGGTCGGCCAGGGACGCCGGCATTTCCTTTGTGTCCCTTCACTCCAGGGAACCCAAAAGGCCCCTGGGGACCTGTGGGAATACGTTCAAGTCTTCATCTCTTCCAGACCTTCAACTGAGGTTCATCTGCAGTTTGATTCATTCTGCGTGTTGTTGCACACCGCAGCATTTTGGGTGTGGTAAAATAATTCACTGGATTCCCGGCTTTTGCAGAGGTCAGGGGTCACAGCCACACATAGCTGAAACCCATCAATACTTGAGATTCCTCTGAAAATACTTATACCAGTAAATATAACTTAATATGCATTAAGACTCACAGGAAACTGTCCTACACTTAGTGGAAGCTAACAACTAAGTATTTCCTTAGCTACACTCGAGAGCTCAGCCAATCAGCAGCAAGAAAAATGAGTGCTGCTCTGGGATTGGTTGCTTAGCGTGTCAGGTGTTGCTGGTTGAATGAATCTCTGGCTCTTGAATATTTTAGATATGCTCTATGAACAAACTGACCTGCTGCTGGTCCACTGCACATTTTTCTGTTTATCTTTAAACCAGCAACGTTTGTGACGCTCTACTGCAAAACCAGGAACAAGTTGATGGAGCAGAAACAGAGAAAAAGATAAAAACCATCAACTTCTGAGAAAATCTTTATTTTCTTTAGTTAAACTGATTAACATTCTGCTCTTTATTGGCTCTTCTTGGGCTGTTGCCATTGGTTTCAGCCAATAAGAGGCGAGTTTGATAAAGAAAAACACAATAAGTTAAGATCGCCACCACAATGCGACCCAGATCCATAACTCACCTGGCGCTCCCGGGTTGCCCGGCGCGCCGAGGCGTCCTTTACGTCCTGGGGACCCCGGCGGTCCAGGCCAGCCTCTGGGCCCCTGGGGGCCACTCTGAGTATTGCCACTTGGTCCGGGGAACCCAGGGCGGCCCATCGGCCCCGGAGAACCTGCAGCACAGAGTCTGGTAAACACTCAACAGTTTGACATTTCTGAAATGTTTCCAGATATTTAACACCGAAAAAACACAAAGTCTTACCAAGAACTTCTTCAAGCACAAATATTTTACAACATTTGAAAAAAGACAATAATTACAAGCAACTATTTAGCAACAGTAGCTTGTTTTACGTCAATAATTGCCTAAAAAATAAAAATGTCCCGGATCCACTGGCTGATGATTTAAATTATGTTGTTATACGTGAGATAATCTGCTAAGTTTATCTCAGTAAATTAGTTTTGTTTTATTTCAGGTGTACTAAAACATTTGAACTGATCATAATCTTTGTTTTATTTCACCGATCAGAAAGTTAGACCCAAAATGGCCGACACGGTGAACTTTAGGACGAAGCTTTGTGGTCACTCTGGCCGTTTAATAAATTTAAAGTCGTCACTGTTCTGGAGGAACCAGCTGATTCCCACCAGTCCAGATGTTTTTCAGTCAGGAAAGTGGGACTTTATTTTGGTAGATTTGTGTTTGTCCTTCACATCAGAAACGGTTCAGCTGATGCTGGTTTCTACCTGGACTTCCAGGGGAACAACAACTGTCGTTTCCGACATCTCCAGGATCTCCGTCAGCACCTGGAGGTCCTGCAGGGGCAGAAGAAGAAACATGGAGCCGTCGGTCCAGACAGGACAGGTGTGACCCAACGCTGAGGTACCTGGGTCCCCAGGCGGTCCTGGAGCATAAGACAGTCCCGGGTCCCCTTTAGGCCCGTCCGGCCCTCGGACGCCAGCGGTGCCTCTAGCACCGGGAGGACCTGGGCCACCTGGAGATGGAGGCAGGTGAGCAGGAAGCTGCACTAACAGGTGAAGATACGGGAGTTTCAGACGAGGCTTACCTGGTGGTCCACGGTCTCCCTTTGGCCCCGGACGGCCGGGATTCAACACACAGGGGCCTCGGTCTCCTGCAAGAGGAGGAACCAGAGACGGTGGAGTCAAATCAGAAAGTAAATCACAGAGACAATTTCTTGAAAATACGTTCAATCACCAGAGACTAGAAACGCAACATTTGCTACGATTCTGTGATTTTTCATTGGACCTGCAAAGTTATTACTGTAAAGGCTTCATATAAAACAAGTGCAGTTATTTTCTCAGAACAAAATTCAATACTTACAACCTGCAGTCTCACTTATTGAGCTTCTCTACTGAATTTTAATTTTCCAAGCTTGGAAAAGGTCAAAGGTCACTTCAAATCAATCGGTTGCCTTTAATTTAGTTTTCTTGGTTGCCTGGCTGCCGTTAGCAGCCATTTTGTTTGGTTTCAAGAACTGAGCTGATCTGGAGGGAATGAAGGCAGTTGGTGCAGATGAACTGATTTGATGTTTTAGGTGTTTATTTCTGTATTATTAACGTTTCTGTAATAATGCTGTAAACAAAGGCATTGATAGGTGAGCAGACAGGAGACATTATTAAAGAACATGTTGATCTGGAACAAACTAAATAAACTAAAAACCAAGACAGTGAGGATGAAATGTCCCGACGTTATCACTCTGTCATACAGACTGGACAACTGGGAGAACTGGGAGAACTGGGACCTGAAGTAAAATCACAGTAAATTGATTTGTATTCAGAGCAAAGCGCTTTCTGAACCTGGAGCAGAAAAACAGGAAATGTTGTGAAATAATTTCACTCCAGTCATTTTATCTGACTTCACCAACAGCTTTACCTGGATCTCCCTTCATTCCAGGTGGTCCAGGAAATCCATCAGGTCCCGGGTCTCCAGGGGGCCCTCGCGCCCCAGGGGGCCCCACCACCACGACTCCAGGGGGACCCGGGCGCCCCGGGAATCCATCTGGTCCCGGGGGTCCAGGGAAGCCTTTGTTTCCAGGGAAAGAAGGGACAATGTCCCCCTAAAGCCAAACACAAGCAGGAGAGAGGTTCGGTTCGGTCCGGTCCGGTTCGGTTTGGTTCGGTCCGGTTCGGTTCGGTCCGGTTCGGTCCGGTTCGGTCCGGTTCGGTTCGGTTTGGTTCGGTCCGGTTCGGTTCGGTTCGGTTTGGTTCGGTTTGGTTCGGTTTGGTTCGGTTCGGTTCGGTTTGGTTCGGTTCGGTTCGGTTCGGTTCGGTTCGGTTCGGTTTGGTTCGGTTTGGTTCGGTCCGGTTCGGTTCGGTTCGGTTCGGTTCGGTCCGGTTCGGTTCGGTCCGGTTCGGTCCGGTTCGGTTCGGTTCGGTTCGGTTCGGTTTGCTCCCTGACTCCGCCTCTATGGCTGACCTTAAGTCCCGGATCTCCAGGTGGTCCTGGGCGCCCCGGGGGTCCGACTGCCCCCCAGGCTCCTGGGGGCCCTTCGCGGCCCCTCCTGCCCTTTTCTCCCTTTTCACCTGGAAACGAAATCAGAATGAGAATCTCTGAGACATGAAAACGAGATTCATTCATTCATCACATGGCAAAAATACTTTAGGTCCAGTTTCTTGATAAATTGAAATAAGAAAACTAGCAGAAGTAACTTTTCATGAACTTGGTTTTAGTAATTATAGATTTAATATTGATGAAAAACTATTAGTTTCACCTTTTAACTGATGATGTGGAACTAGAACGGCGTTGCTAGGTAACGGCTCAGGCCCGTTGCTAGGTAACGGCTCAGGCCCGTTGCTAGGTAACGGCTCGGGCCCGTTGCTAGGTAACGGCTCAGGCCCGTTGCTAGGTAACGGCTCGGGCCCGTTGCTAGGTAAAACCAGAAGTTTTGCTGCTTTTTGCTGAAAGTTTTTCGGAAACTAAACCAGATTTACTGGGTTTTGAGGGTGAGAAGAAGTTGGCAGATTGATCTAAATATTGATATTGAATCAGACCAATAACTGTCACGAGTTCAATAATTTAGTTTCAGATTTCATCTTGAAATTAAATTTTATTTTTTTGTGTCAGTTTCTCAACTCTTCCTCAAAATGATTTATTGATAATTTTGTGACGTTTCTTATTGTTTCTGTTTATCATATTCATATGTCATTAATTTTATAGACATGAAACAAAATTAATAGGTCAAAGGAAACAAACAAAATCACCTAAAGGTCAGAAGTTTGTTGATAAACATTTCCAGCAATAAGGAAACAGGAAGTTCAGAGTCTGCTGCTGTTCTCTCAGTTTGCTCTAATTTAATTTGTCATTATCTGTGTGAAACTGAATGTGATGAACTGACCTTTCCAGCCGTTCACAGTGAAACCTTTCCGTCCTTTCTGGCCGTCGGGTCCCCTGAAGCCCTTCGGTCCCTGCAGGAAAATCACAAACCTGCTTCAGGCTCAACTCATCTGACATTTCCTCCCATCTTTTTGTTTGGAGACTCACCTGGGGCCCCTTCGCTCCTGGGTCTCCAGGGTGACCCACCCTTCCTTTGGGGCCTGGGGATCCGGGCTGACCTGTTGACCCTTTACGCCCTTCGGCCCCTGGAGGCCCTGGAGGGCCCTTCAGGTCAACAGATTTACATCGACATTCACCAGGAACACCTGAAACATGGAGTCAGAGCTGATCTGCCACTTTGGGGTTCAGTTCCTCACAGAAACAATCATCACTGACCTTTAAAGCCTTCATCGCCTCTGGGTCCTGGAAAGCCTCTGTCCCCTGGGTCTCCCATGTCTCCCATGTCCCCTTTAAGACAGACCGTTCCTGCAGAGATGGAGACCAAACATGGAGGACATGGAAGCCGCAGAGACCAGAAACCCATGTGGTACCTGGGAGGCCCTGCAGTCCCTTCGGCCCTCGTTGTCCCCGCTGTCCTGGTTTTCCAGGTTCTCCATGTGCCACTTCGTCTGTAGTCTGACCCGGCTCTCCTCTCTCCCCTTTGTACCCAGGTTCTCCCTTTGGACCATCAAAACCTTTCAGTCCTGAAGAAAACCACAAGACGATCCTGAAGATGGACCTGAGACACCAAATTCATCCCACCTGAATCTGAACAGGTTCCCTGTAAGACAATTAACTATTTGTTTTGCTCACTAAATGCTGAACTTACTGGTTAAATATTTAGTCTGTAAGCAAAGTATTAGTTTGCAAACCAAATATTTAGCTTTTTAACTTTATTTATTTCGGAGATCAACATTTAGCTAGTAATCTAAGTGTTTAGCTTCAAATTGAAGAATTTTTTAATTGTATATTTAGACCTAAACATTTAGTTGGTCAAACGTTTAGTTTGGCGGCTAACGGACGTTTATCCTCTTGTAAAAGTTGTAAAAAGAACCAAACTTATTGCCGTTCATTTTGACTAAAATTATGATTAACATCATTTTTGTTTCTATTCATCACATCCTGAATATTTACTGTAATAAACACCAACACCGTCCTGCTCCTCCAATCTCCTGGCCCTCATAGTAACATCGATTTGACTAGACCACCATCATCCCTCTTTATGACATCACCCTACAATGATTGGCTCTGATAGTCGATTGGATGCTTTCCTATTGATTATCAGCTTTGATGTTAAATGAGTTTACTGACCTGGTGTTGATGATCCTGGGATTCCTGGGGGACCGAGCGTTCCCATTGGCCCCGTGTCGCCAACAGGGCCCCTCCCCCCGGGGAGCCCAGGGTCCCCGGCCTCACCTGGAAGACAAGACGATGAGAAACCACACGACCGATGGCTGATTGGTGTATTGATCCATACCCATGTGAGTGACATCATCGATCACAGGGGGGCCTTCGGGGCCCGGATCACCAGCAAAGCCCTGGAAACAAAGAGTCATATCACAACAAAGAACTTAAATAACAGGCTCCTTTACATCTGCCCTGTCGCTTCCAGAATAAAGACTTTAACTGGACCTGGGTCACAAACCCAACTGACCTTGAAACCTTCTTGACCTATCAGTCCTGGGAGACCTTGGCTCCCTCTCATCCCCTGAAAACCCAAAAACACCTTTAATGAACCCGACTCAGAACCATCAGACCGGACCAGCGTTTCTGCTCTGACTCACCCGGGCGCCTTTCCGTCCGGACGGACCGGGTCGACCAGAATCCCCCTGGAAGAAAAAACAAACTGATGCAGCAACCGAAGCCGGATAAACGTCTGGATCGGATCGAAGGAAACGTACTCTGGCTCCTGGAAATCCAACGATCCCCGTCTCTCCTTTGATCCCAGGCGGCGCATCCCGACTCTGAAACCAGAACAGAACTTCCTCATCGCGGCCCACAGCAGTGGTCACTACAGGATCCAAAATGGCTCTTATTCTGGGATATTTAGCGTCATTAACATCAGAATAACATCATTTATTCAAAAATGGACCAAAACAGTCAGCAGCTTAATAAAGAGGTCTACGTTACCGGGAGTCCCTGAACGCCACGCAGTCCTGGTTCCCCTGGAGATCCCTGAGAGAAACAACCAGACCTGATTTAGGACAACCTTAAAACATGTCCAAACCTTTTTAAATGGGATAAAACAAAACAAATCATTAATCAGACAAAGAAAAGCTGCTTCAGCTTCTATTTAGCAACATTTTCAAAGTACAGAACAAATTCTCTTTGCCCACTCCGCGTTTATTTCTGCTTCTGAACGATTTGTTTGGATTCTGGAAAGATACTATTGTGCTAAAAGGAGTTAGCTTAGCAGTGAAGTTGTGCTAGCCTAAAACAGCATCTCAATGCTAACATGTAGCAGCTAGCGCTAATGTTAGCATCCACAGTCCACATTTCTAAAGAAGCTCCATGAAAGATCAGGACTTCCTGAAACTCTTTGCTTCAATCTGATGGTTGAAGATTAAAAACTTTCTTTGTTGCTGAGCTCATACGGCCACTTTATTAGGTACACCTTGCCAACACCAGGGAGGACCCTCTTCAGAACTGCCTTAATCCTCGGTGGCAGAAATTCAATAAGGAACTGGAAACATTCCCCAGAGAGTCTGGTCCATGTTGACATGACAGCATCACTGCAGATTAGTCGGCTGCACATCCATGATGCAAAGTTCCCGTTCCACCACATCCCAAAGGTTTCTGTTGAGATCTGGTGACCCTGGAGGCCATTCGAGTTCACTGAACTTATTGTTCAAGAATCCAGCCTGAGATGAAACCAGTCTGACATGAAACCAGTCTGAAGTCATAAAGACATGATCATCAACATCACTCAGGCAGCCTGTGGCGTTGACAGGATGCTCAGCCTGAGCCGTCGATACCAGACAGGATGGATCCAGGCTTTCATGTTGTTGATGCCAAATTCTGACCCGACCATCCGAATGTCACAGCAGAAATTGAGACTCATCAGACCAACGTTTTCCAATCTTCTACTGTCCAGTTTCCTGCTGCTACCTGACGGGAGTTTCAGGAAACTTCTGCGTTCGCTGTGATGTGCGTTCAGAGATGCTCTTCTGCTGACCTCGGTTGTTCTATCGGTGGCGGTTCTATCAGCTCAAACCAGTCCATTCTTCTCTGACCTCTGACCTCAACAAGACATTTATCCACACAGAACCGCCGCTCACTGCCTACTGTCAGCAGTTTCTGAAATACTCAGCGGAGCCAGTCCGGCTCCAACGACTACGCCACGTTCAGAGTCACTTAAACCTCCTGATGCTCGATTTTTACTCCAGCGGATCGTCTCGGCCATGAAGAAATGCATCGAGTTGCTGTCATCTGATTGGCTGATTCGACATTTGTGTTAATGAGCTCGATGAGTGTACCTAATAAAGTGGCCGGTGAGTGTAGTCAATCATTTAGCAGCAAAAGTGTCAAAAGATTAAAATATAATTAATTAATTTCAGACCCTGATCACATCCCACCATTAAAATAAAGAGAAATTCAACAGAAATCCAGAAATAAGATGTGGAACTAGAACCGAGACCCTGACAAGAAACCCGGCGACGAAAACAGAATATTTAAAACATTATAATATTAAAACATTAAAGGAAAACTAAATAAAAGATACTGAACATTTAAAATCAACAAAAACACAAGAAAATAAAGAAAAGGAAGACAAAATGTGCTCCGACCTTCTCCCCTTTGATGTACAAGTCCTCTGGAGGGTCAATGTACTCGAAGGGCCCCGGAGGCCCCTGGGGGCCCTGGTCCCCCTGTGGGTCACACAGGAAATGGAAAACGTTAACGAACAGAACTCAGCTGACTCCCAGTAAAGATCAACAGGGATGTAATGCACTGACCGACCTACAGGGGGCATTACAAGACCTGAGGAAGGTCGGCCATGTTCATGTCCTCTGTGATGTAACTGAGGGGCGTGGCCAAAGGGGGCGTGGTCAATGGTACATTTAGAGCTGCTGCAGTCATTTTGGTTAACTGGAATCGAACCTCCAACCTCCTGACTGCTGAGCCACAGTTCAGAGTGGAATAAGATGGATGTGATGTGAAGGGGGCGTGGCCTATGTGATGTCATATTTCTGGGGCGTGGTCTGATGGATGAAGCACTAGGTGGCGCTACATTAACTCTGTGAACAGTCTCTGTACCTCGTCTCCTTTCGGTCCCGGCAGTAATCGACCTTTTTGACCCTGAAACAAAAGCATAAGCCGACATCAGAACCTCCAGCTGGAGACATAATCGATCTATAATCAATAATTGACTGGAGGCGCTGCGAACAGTTTTACTGCTTCAGAATGACATTAAAGAGGTAAACTGTTAAACTGCTGAGTGTGAAATGATGAAAGGAACTGGCATCTGCTCGGTTGTGACTCACAGGCGGGCCCCTCGGTCCGGGTGAACCAGGAGAGCCCTGAGGAGACACACACACGTTTCATTTACTCACCAGGGAACCAACTACAAATCCTGTGATCCAAACTGTGTTGAACTGAAGTCAAACTGAACACAAATGAACTACAGTTCTGTTGAAATGTACTTTTTACAATGAACAAAATATTATTTGAACTGAATTCAGCTGAAGGAATTTCAATAAACGATAATAAAATGTACCTGTATGGAAATAAATTGATTTAAAGTGGTCGGAAATGTGTTGGAAACATGTAATTCAGCTGAAATGAAGTGACTCACAGCGATTCCCGCTGATCCGGTTGGACCCGCGGGTCCGGTTGGTCCCGGCAGACCGTCTTCCCCCTGCAAGCAGAGACAGAAACCTGAAGCAGAAGCAGGACAATGTGACGCACTCAGCTGCTTTCGGGGCAACTCACCGGCAGGCCTGGCAGTCCGCTGGGCCCGGCCTCGCCCTGTTGGATCCAAACACTGCGGTCAGGCGGGCTGAACGCACCAGAACATGACGCTGCAGGTCGGCTGTACTTACAGGAACTCCGGGGTACTGGATGAAGTCGGCCGATGGTTCTCCTTTAAGTCCCTTCGGACCAGTAAAACCCTGCAAAGGGTTCAACAGGATGTGAGAGTCTTTCACCTCAACATGGCGTCAAACAGTGACAGCCAGTGGTTTTTACCGGTTCTCCATTAGAGCCCTGTTCTCCTGGAAACCCCAGATAGCCCCGGTTTCCTCTGGTTCCGTTGCATCCATCCAGACCTGGATGTCCAGGCCCTCCAGCCGGGCCGGGGAGGCCCTGAGCAAATGCAAAGAGAAGCTGAAGGATTCTGCGCTCCTGCAGCTGTGGGACGCCGATACGGAGGACTCTTACCGAGACTCCGTCCAGACCCGGAAAACCGTGCAGACCGGCGGGGCCCTGAACCCACAGAAACAGACGTTCACCATGTTGGACTTCAGGAATGTTACTTTGGTTTTCTGCTTCCACAGTTAGAACAGTTGTTTACTCACTTCATCTCCTTTTATCCCATAACCTCCCATCGGCCCCTCGGCTCCTCTACCGCCCTTCTGCCCTGGAAGACCCTGTCTGCCCGGGAAGCCTGGAGGCCCCTCAGGCCCCTGCGGACCCAGAAGACCTGGGAAACCCTGCAGAACATAAAACTATTAGAAACTTCAACGCCTGATACGACACAATGACACATGACCAAGCAAAACGTTGGACAGCCTGAACCTGCGGCCTGCAGCCCCGGTACTGGAGAGTCACTGTCCGGCCGGTTTTAGATGCAACCTTGCTCTTACTTCCTACAAGACAGATTCCTTCATTTCCCATAATTCCACTCTGCTGGTTAAGAGTCAGTTCCCAATTTCTACCCAAGGCCGAGCCGTTTCCGCCCATGTGTTTTTAGTTATTTTTGAAAGTTTTCACAAGGAGTTGATATTTTCTAATCATCCTTCAGACTCTCATCATCTCAGTGACACATACAGAACAGAAGATATGAACGTTTACTGTGCGATGCCTAAATTACCGTTTGAACCGACGTGTCCGGCAGACAAAGCATTTAAACATCTGACAGAACAAAGAAACCAACAGAACCTGGTCCACAACAACAAACAGAAACATTCAATTTGGGACCAAGATGAAGCCATTACTGACCCAACCGAGACGGAAAGCCAGAACATGAACCCACATTTTAACTGCCATCAGTTAAAATGTCCCAGACACAGACAGAACCAGCAGAGTCCAGTGAGCCAAACCTGCAGTGACATATCTGACCACATGGGGGCAGTATCGCATAAATCAAACCAAATACAAACTGAGAACAGCAGCTCAGATCTGAGGTCAAAATAAAATCTAAACTTACAAATATGTCAATAAAAATATATTTAATAATAAAAAATTGAATTTGAATCAAATTCAGCACAGCTGGTTAGACGGTGAGCAGTTTTCTCACAATAATATACACAGAATTATTATTCTGTAAAATTAATAGAAATTAAACACAAATTAACAAATGGTCTGCAGTTTCTCATGAAAAAACAAATATATTATGGTAGAAAGAGAAAAGATAAGCTATCATTTATTAAAAAGATGCAAACTAAAACCGTTTTTCCCTTTATACGAGACACATTTATAAATATTTTCTGAATCCTTTTAATCTCCAAAGCAAGGCATGTTGTTGAACCTGCAGCTAAGTCAAAGGCCAGAGGAAGTCCAGCTTTTTTCAAAACTGTATTAAATTGATCTAAAAATTATACATGCAAATATTTTATTGTGACAAAATAGAAAAATCACAATAATGTAAGTAATGAACTGTAAAAAGGCTGAAACATGATGAAATATGAAAAAAGGGTTGGGGTTAGGGTTAGAAGTTCGGTTGGAGGTGAGAAGTTCAGCAGGAGGCAGGAATATGTGCTCGATAATGAGGCTTCAAACCGAAAACAAAAACTACCATCATGAGCGTGTTGAGACTGCGTCGCAGAGGAGGCGAGTCCCAGGGAAACGGTTGACCTGAGCTGCCTGCATTATCAATGTAACTCAATGTTCAGCAGAAGAATCAGGTGTTTACTGATCACAGGTCCGTTTCCATCACAACACTGGGCTCATCTAAAGCTCCTCCAGTACTGGCTGCTTTTTGTTACCGCAAAGGACTTTCCAGCATCCGAAAGTAATTTCTGCACAATAAATTGAATGTTCTATTTTTAGATTAAAAAGTTGAGAGCGGGAACCTTTGTTTGTGTGTTTCTGGTACGCCTGTAAACCTGTCACACAGCTACGTCTGCTAACAGCAGAGATGAAGCGACTTTTGTTTCCCCTCTGAGGTCCGCTTCTGCTTCTAAACAACCCGGTAGGAAACGATTGTTGTTGTGTTTAAGTTAAAAGGAGTTAGCCTATCAGTGAAGCTATGCTAGCATCTCAATGCTAATGCTAATGTCAGTGTCCACAGTCCGCATTTATGAAGAAGCTTCAGGAATGATCAGAGAAACTCTGGGAAGATGAACAGATAGAAAAACTCTTTGCTCCAATCTTATGGCTGAAGAACCTGAATGACCCGTTCAAAATGTCTTATGAGCTTTAAAAGCAGAAAAAGTACAGAAAAATCTCTTATTTTGAAAATTTCAGGAAGCCTCATTTTAAAAGGCTGAAATTGAAAAAGCAGCAGTGTAGCTTCAACTGAGTTTGGATGGATCCGGTTTTCAACACAGAACCAGAGAAAATACTGCAAAGGCCGCTGTTACCATGTTTACCACAGCAACCATTAATACCATCAGTTATGTTAGAGCCTCATCATGATGTTTCCACCACCATGCCTGACAGTGGGAGAAGCGTTAACTGATGCAGCTCGGTTCGTCTGACCATAGATCCGAGGTGTGTGTGAAAGCGCTTTGAGCGGCTGTCTGTGTGTATGTGTGTGTGTGTGCGTGTGTAGGTGTGTGTGTGTGTACGTGTGTGTGATGGGATGTGACAGCTGTGATCTCTGCTAGTCCGCCCTCCTTTTTCTGAAGCTGTTTGGTTGTGAAATCACCGAGACAGACGTCAAACCATAAACCCCCCGCCTGTCTGCTGCCCTCAGCTGAACAAACACACTCACACACACACACACACACACACATACACTCACACACACGCAGCGCCAATCCACTCACAGTGGGTTGCTTAGGACCTGGATGGCCTGTTTTTGTTTTTGTTGTTGTTTATTTGTCAGCTGACAGCAAGAAATGAACAGTCATGTGACGCTCTGTCTGTTGTCTCATTGGCTGCTGACTATTCTTGTTTTTGGTACATTGTGGGGACGCCTGGTCCCACCATCCTTATCGGGTCGTTGCAGGATGCAGGGCCACAAACCGAAATATGGAGAAAAAACTTCCGTATTTTATTGAAGCTGAAATAAATAAGATTCACCAGACATGGTGTGAAAATTTTATTTCTCATAATTTTGATTATTCTGCATATTTCATCCAATCTGGTGTCTCTCATCTTTCCCAGGCCAATCCAGAATAGGTTCCCTATAAGGTTCTGGTCAGGCCTGTTTCCTGGCACATCTAGCCCAGTATCTCTTTGGTCTTTAGACCAGATTCTGGTACCGCTGTCTGGGTCAGAACCAAGTCCTGCTGGAAATGAACCCAGCATCTCCATGAATCGGGCCAGCAGAAGGAAGCATGAAGGACTCTAAAATGTTCTGGTGGATAGCTGGGCTTATAGTGGACCATTCAGAACCCAGTGGACCAGGACCAGAACAAGCTGGTGACCCAGATCATCACTGACTGAGAAAACTTCACCCTGGACATGCAGCACCGTGGTTGAGGTCCAGATAAAACTTTACTTTCATCTGGAATTTGGTCCTCTTAGCAACAGCCCGGTTCTGGTTCTGGACCCGTCTGATCATAGGGGTCCAGATGTTCCAATTCCAGCCCAGTTTAGTTCACAGAAGATCCCTCAGATTATTGAACATTCTCCCCGTTCCTACCACACTTTTTCCATCCACTCAACTTTCTATAAAATTGCTGAGTTTTTCCCAATATTGTAATTTTCTGAGGAACTGATTTTTATGCTTTTATTCTCTGTAAACGGGAATTATAAAAATGACAAGTCAAAGTTTTGAAATGTTTCAATAATGTTTGAGCTTCACCAAAAATATTTAACTTCTTTGTGATATTTAAATTTTTTGAGCTGTAATTTTAAATCCAGCAGCAACTGGACACCAGTCAGAGAGGCAGAGCAAAACCATATATACAGCCACTTGGAGACAGCAGCCAGTTAACCCAGTTAACCCAGCAGGTTTCTGAGGAAGGAAGCTGGAGTTTCCAGAGAGAAGCCACGCTGGTATGGAGACTCCAGGATTTGAACCTGTAGTGAACCTGCAGCTACGTGTTGATAATTAAGTCCTCTGATGTGATGAAAGTGTGTGTGTGTGTGTGTGTGTGCTTGCGTGCGTGCGTGTGTGTTCAATCTGCTGTCCTCTAGCTTAGCCCCTCGTTCCTCCGCCGGTCCAGCAGCCGTGAGCCGCTCCGTGTTCCTGTTTTCCGACCTGCCAGTAAACGCGTCGCCGGGCCAGTAACTGGAATATAAAACGGACCGCTGTGATTGGCTGGATCAATACTCACTCTGGCTCCTTTGGCAGGTAAACACTGGCAGGTGGTGCAGTCCCGCCCACCACACGGCTCCATCAGGTCACCCTGGAAACCAGGAGAGGACAGGAAGTCATGATGATGAAGATTCAACATGATTCACGCATCTTAACTTCTGCTTCGTTTTGTCTGGTTGGGTTCAGGTTCCACTTCCTGCAACATTTAAATCCAGAAGAGTTTTGTCATGTTGTCTTGTTCTTCCTGTCTTATCGTCTCCAACAGTGCAGCTTCGTCCAGGCGGAGGTCAACCTGGAACCCGCTTCTGTCATGCAGAAGCGGGTTCCAGAAGATGTGGCCTGGATCGGGTCCAGAACTGGACCGGGTCCAGTCTGACCCACAGAGCAGGGATTCCTGTGGGTCCACAGGAAACTTCTCATTGAAGCTAAGTCACATGTGGAGTTCCCCAAGGTTCAGACCCCGGACACCTCCTGTTCAACACCTATATGCTGCCACTAGCTTCATTAGCATAACTCGATGAGACAGCTCTACGTTATGATGTCATCAGGTGACCTTTCACCCCATCCAAACACTGAGCAGAAATGTGTGGATGTGCCAAATCTTTTTCCAACTGAACAGAAACTGAAGTTTTTAAAGAGGAACATAAAGATTTATAGATATTGAGTTGCAGATCTAGATTTATAGATCTAGAGTCAACGCACAGCTTCAGGTCTTCAGCTGGAAACCAGAGATCATTTCAAATTCAAATGTTTGAGCCTCTTATTGTGAAATTTTGCTCTGAATTTGCTAATCCACTTCCTTTGCTTTAGCCGCTCCTTTTAAAATCTCAGTTTTCTCTTTTGATCATTCTCCGTTTATCCTGCTGTCCTCAGTTCATTTATCTGTTATTATTACTAGCATATTTCCATATTAGGTAATAAACTATGTTTAGTCTTAGTTTATTTCTGTATTCTTATAAATTTCTTAGATTATTTTGCTCTGTCTGTGTTAATCCCAGTTTTCCTGCCACAGCTGTTCCTCATCTCTAATCGTGTCCTCCGGTTCCCTTCTCGTTTCCCTTCCCTCAGTATTTAAGCTCCTGGTTTTTCTTTGTTGGGTTCTGGTTCCTCTACCTGTAGGTTTCCTTCGACTCGTCTGTTTTCGGGGACTCTCTGTACCTTGGTCTGTTTGTGGTAAAAGCTGTGACTCGCCAGGCAGGCAGTAGTTTGCCCTCATGTTTTTATTCTGGTTTCTTTACCACAGAAAAAGTGTAAAGAAAAAAGAGCTTCGCCATTTTCTTAGGAAGCAGATAACTGGTATTTTTTGATCGAATCAGTCGTAGAGAGTCACGCTCTGTTATCTCTAAATCTTTCAACAAAAAATCTGGTGAATGAGAACAGATGTTCTGTGATCAAATCAGATCAGACCAGTGGAGATGGATCGTCATCTGGGATGTTTCACAGACTAAACAAATGATGTTAGCTTCTGCTGATGCTTTGATAAGACCGAGACGACTGGAGCAAAATACAATCATTCAAAAGGTGAAAAAATTATAAATATGGAAATAACAAAACCAGGTTTAAAGAGAAAACTAAACTAAGCGACACAATGTGTTCAACTTGGTATCATAACAACTACATTATTTTCAGTAAAGTTTCTGCTGCAGGGAAGAGAATAAAGTTTGTCAGGTTTTGATTTTCGATACTAAAAATTCTTAAAGTAGTTAGACGTTTATATTCATGCTCTTATTTTGAAGTGTGGGAACAAAGTATTGTTTCCTCATATGTTCTCTTTTTTTAAGAAACTTCATTGAGGGTTATATGTAGAAAATACAGACATAATGTGTTTTTTTTTTTTTTTTTCCTGTTGTGGGCAACGGGGCCCGGCGAATACCCGTGGTTAAACGGACGGCGGAGTCCGGCGGTAACAGGCGCTCAAATTCTGTGTCAAAGGGAAGGGGGGAGAAAGGGAAAGGGGAGGGAAAAAAAAAACAAAAAAAACTTGGTATTTTATTCTATGTTGCATGCCTTTGTGTTTTGTGTTTATGATGTAAAGCACTTTGAAATGCCTTGTAGCTGAAATGTGCTATACAAATAAAATTTGATTGATTGATTGATAAGAGACCTCATGTTTTTTCTTGTGACAGCTTGGCTGAATTTAGCACCTGATTGTAGCGTCCACTAAATACCATATTGGTATAGCACGTTAGCATTAGCTTTTGCTTGTTTGTATTGCGCATTAGCATTGTTTACAGTAAATTACATGTAAGTGTAGAACTTTAGCATTAGCTTTCACTAAATAGCATATTAGCATAGTACTTCAGCTAATGTTTGATTGGTGTTTTTAGCGCAGCTGCCTTTTCTAAGCTAAACCTGGAGTTTGTACTCTTGCTAGCACTAATACGTCCAGAAGTGTCTTCAGGGTCCGAGGGGCCCGGTGTTTATTTCCAATGGTTCTTGGGCGAGAGGCGGGGTCCACTCTGGATGGATCCCCAGCCCGGCCCAGACCAGCTAACTCAACGGTCCTGCAGGAAGAAGCCGGAGTACCCGGTGAGAACTCATCCTGGACCCAGAAAGATCCAGGCCGGGACTCGAACCCAGAACCTTCTCACTGCAAGGCAGTGATGGAAGGTTTGTTTCGGAGCGATGGGATCATAAGCGGGCCTTTTATATCCAAAGGTCTCCTGGAGCTGTTCTGACTGAACCCAACGTTCTGGCCCATAGAGTCCGTCTGAAGCGGGACTTTCTGTCCCGACTCCTGCCGGTGAAAAAACAACCCGAACCCAACAACATCAGACAGAGAGGAGCTAATCTGGCCTGACCCTGCTCATGCCGAGTCCCATACTCGGCATCCCTGACTGTTTTCTTTTTCTCTGTGGGCCCCAGACGGTGAGTTTTCTCGCATGCAGCAGTGTTTGTGTAGCAGCCGCTTTCCCGCAGCGTTGTATAAACCGGGACTCGAACCCACTGAGCCATGGTTATTGGCAGGAGAGCTGCCGCTTTTTGTCATGACTGTTGAGAGAACACCATCCTCCCTCCACCCAGTCATCCTCCATCACCGCTCTCATGTCCTCACTGCGCCTGAATCTGGGCCCAGGACCAGGAACCAGGCCCAGGAACCAGGCTCAGGAACCAAGGACTAGGAACCAAGGAACCAGGAACCAAGGACTAGGAACCAAGGAACCAGAAACCAAGGACTAGGAACCAAGGAACTAGGAACCAAGGAACCAGGAACCATGGAACCAGGCCCAGGAACCAGGCTCAGGAACCAAGGACCAGGAACCAAGGACTAGGAACCAAGGACCAGGAACCAGGACCAGGAACCACGGCCAAGAACCAGGACCAAGAATCAGGAACCAGGCCCAGGAACCAGGACCAGGAACCAAGGACCAGGAACCAGGACCAGGAACCACGGCCAAGAACCAGGACCAAGAATCAGGAACCAGGCCCAGGAACCAGGACCAGGAACCAGGCCCAGGAACCAAGGACCAGGAACCACGGCCAAGAACCAGGACCAAGAACCAGGAACCAGGCCCAGGAACCAGAAACCAGGACCAGGAACCAGGAACCAAGGACCAGGAACCAGGACCAGGAACCAGGACCAGTCCTCCATCATCCTCCCCCGATTGGCTCTAAGCATCTGATTGGCTGCTGCATACAGCATGAATCTGATCTGCAAATGTTCGTCTTTCTTTGTTGGTTTCCATCTTTCAGTCAGTTAATCGGGCAGAAAGATGGAGGACCGGCGTCTGGTCCAGGAGGAACACCTGGCCTGGTGCCACCTGGGTTGTTTCCATGGATACGGTTCTGTGAGACCTCCTGCAGCTTCAGTTCCTCCACAAATAAAAAAAAGGCCTCAGGAGGAGAGGTCACCATGGCAACCACCTGGGGGACATAATGAGGACCATCCAACAGTTCGTCCAACAGTTCGTCCAACAGTTCGTCCAACAGTTCGTCCAACAGTTCGTCCAACAGTTCGTCCAACAGTTCATTGGTGGTTGGATGCAGGCATCCTAACTCTTGGACTCACCCCTTGACCTCCTGGAGGAGCTGTGACCAGAGCCAGGAAACACCTGCGGGACAGGAGACACAGGTGAGACAGGAGACACAGGTGAGACGAGACGGAGCCTGTCACCATGGCTACAGTCCACACAGACGGACCAGTCCAATGTTGGGTTTCAGAAATGTAAAATCTGGTCTGCGCTGCTTTTTTACCAGATCCACGGATGGCGCCGGGGGGCGGAGCCTGCACCGGCAGACATCTTGTCCTCAGAGTGGAGTCCTGGTTACCACATGACCCAGTCGGGCTGACTCCGCCTCCAGACGGTGATGGCCCAGTCAGTGCGCAGAGACAACCAGGAGACGTGACGGCGCCACCTTCAGCCCGGGGGGCGTCTGAGCAGAAAACAAGACGGAGCAACAGACTGTCAGTAAAGACAGCGCAGATAAAACCCAGTCAGGGTGAACTGATGCACAGCGAGAGAACGTTTGGGGGATCCTATGGAGCACAATTGGAGCCGCAAAGTTTGTGCAAAAAAAAAAATATATATATATATGTATTTTATATATATAATTATATATATATATAACTGAAAATTAGCCCCACCCACTCAAGTATTAAAACTTTTTCTGTTTCAAAATTGTTAACTTTTCCATTTGCAAATTATTATTCAGTTTCAAAACGTTTCTTTATTCTCCACACTACAGTTTTTTATAAAAATCCAACATTCTTAATGGCCCCAATTTAGCTCCATAAGATTCAACCAACTTGAACTCAGCATCAGTTTGATGATGGCGGCTTTCATGACTCGAAGTGAAGCAGAAGTTAATGATTCAGGAACCGCAGGGGGGAAACCTGTTAATTATCTTTACTGTGTTTCTGCTGGGCCAGCTTCTCTCTGATAGAGATTTAAAGCAGAGTTAAAGTGATCAATCTGCCATTTGGACCCGGTTCTGTTCAGAGATCAAAGGTCCAGCTGCAGAGGAAAAAGCAACGCAGCATTTCTGTTTCCTGGGATCCAGCGTTTCACCGTCAGCCTGGGAATTTCAAAATAATTAATGATAAACCAGTAAAGACGTCCAAGTGGGACGACCGGAAGAACAACGAGTTCTGGTCAAAGCCTAGTCAAAGTCCAGACCTAACAACTGAGAACCTGTGGTCCGATTATTTGTACAAACTGTTGAAACCGATTCCTTTACAAGCCGTGAGAAAGTTTGAGGTGTGAAAACTTTTGCAAAGTCTCATTTTGGGAAAATCTGGGAAACATCAAAGAATTTATTCCCATAAATTTATCAGCCATGTTGTCCAGTTACAGATCAGGGCCCCTGAGGGATCAGGGCCCCTGAGGGATCAGGGCCCCTGAGGGATCAGGGCCCCTGAGGGATCAGGGCCCTTGAGGGATCAGGGCCCCTGAGGGATCAGGGTCCGGTGGGATCAGGGCCCCTGAGGGATCAGGGGCCCAGTTATTTCAGGGGCCCTGAGGGATCAGGGCCCTTGGGGGATCAGGGCCCCTGAGGGATCAGGGCCCTTGAGGGATCAGGGCCCCTGAGGGATCAGGGCCCCTGAGGGATCAGGGCCCCTGAGGGATCAGGGCCCCTGAGGGATCAGGGGCCCAGTTATTTCAGGGCCCGGTGGGATCAGGGCCCCTGAGGGATCAGGGCCCCTGAGGGATCAGGGCCCCTGAGGGATCAGGGCCCTTGAGGGATCAGGGCCCCTGAGGGATCAGGGCCCCTGAGGGATCAGGGTCCGGTGGGATCAGGGCCCCTGAGGGATCAGGGCCCCTGAGGGATCAGGGCCCCTGAGGGATCAGGGCCCCTGAGGGATCAGGGCCCCTGAGGGATCAGGGCCCCTGAGGGCCGCTTTGGGCTCCACTGATAAAGCGTCTGCTGAGAAATTACAACCTGAACAGAAATAAATTAAAGTTGTAACAATCAGTTATAACTGAGATTTTAAAGGTGAATCCCAGAATCGATCCAGAACATCTGAATCACTGAGAGGAACCGGACCTGGGCAGAACCTGAACGAGACTTTGGACCGACTTCCTGAGCCGTTTCCATAGTTACAAAGTCAAAACGTATCCAAAGTTTTGGAGAGAGAAAAAAATGAGGGTTTAACAAATGAGACGGTTCTGCATGAGACGGTTCTGCATGAGACGGTTCTGCATCAGACGGTTCTGCATCAGACGGTTCTGCATGAGACGGTTCTGCCTGACCCAGGTCTTCAGAAACATCCTGAACTTCCTGCAGCAGGTATTTATTCCCTCCAATTATACAATAAAACATTTCATTCCTTTGTTTTGCTTCCTGTGATGAAAAACGACCTTTCATATTTTACAGCCGTCACAATAAAAGCGATTCCTGAGATTCTGGCACCGTTCAGGATGCTGGTCTTATTGGACTCTGGGTCTCCAGGCTCTGATGAAGGTTCTGTTATCAAAGGAGTCGGGATCCAGCACCAAAGTAGACATGATGTTTCTCCAGCCAACACCTGTCCGCTTTCATCCACAGCTCCTCATTTAGCAAAACATTCAGCTGAAACCAACCAAACATTCAGCAAACTCAATGCTTAGTACATTAAGACAATTCATTTGCTACAAACTAAATATTTAGACAGTGAGGTCAATGTTTAGTTGACAAGCTGAATGTTTTCTTTGCCAACCAAATATTGAGCAATATTTATATTTGTCGTCCTCTTTTATCCACAACACAATACAGGAGACAGATTGTGTTTGAGCTGAGTCAGCTTTAATAGTTCAATAGATTTTGAGCCAGAACAGAAATAGTTACAGTAACTCAAGTTAAAACTTAATATTTCAGAAAACTTTCCACAGCAGGTAAAACTGCAGGCAATAGTCTGAGCTCATGAAGCCGTTACGCTTTTCCTCTGGTAAACTCAGAAAATATATCAGATTTAAGAAGAAAACAAAAACTGGAGACAATGGATAGGAAATAGCGCCCCCTTCACTTCCGGAGTGCAATGGTCCCATTTCCAAATAAGGTCTGAGAGTGACAGAGCTCCGCCCCCTTCCTGATTTACAACCAGATTTATTGCATCCCATGTGGTTTGCACTCCATACCAGTAGGTGGCGGCGATGCTACTAACAGGAAAACCAAGAAGAGGAAGCAGAAGAACCACATGTCCAGGTTTTCCTGGGTCGCTTTCGGAACAATTCGGATCTCTGTTGTTCAGACTGTCATGAAAACATCCGATGCAGGAAAGAGTTTCTGTTTCCGGCTGCAGAGTGAATGTCGGTCAGTTGGTGCCTCTAACTGAGCTTATTGGAGGTTGAACCAGCAACCCAAAGACTAGAGGACAAACTTACCACAACATGGCCTCAGAAAAACAAAAAGTTAATATTGAACTGAGCTTTTTGAGTTTGGTTTTAAGGAGCCTCCTGATGTCTGTCTGAGTCTGCAGGACCAAACAGATCCAGTCTGTTCTGCAGCTGAGTGGGAAGAACCTGCAGCTCTGGCAGCTTCAATGTTCCTCCACATGATGACTCAGCACATCCATTAAAGCTGAGTCATCATCACTGAGTCTTCAGTGGATTTAAGGATCAAATTCTTCAAGTTTTATCCTGAAACTCTTTACTCTCATTCACAGTAGAGACTTTTCTCCCTCATTCATAAAACCTCCCACGTCACGGCGTGATTCCGCTCCAATCAGCGCTAATTGGCCGCTAATCAGTCGCTAATTGGCCGCTAATTGGCCCCATCACCGCCCAGCGACAGCAGCAGGTGAGCTCCTTACCTGCGGGAGACGCGGAGTCCGCAGCTTCACGCACTTTTCATTCCTCAGGCGGAGGAAGAGAAAGCGGGAGTTGTGTCCGACATTAGGCGCAGCTGCTTCCGTCCAGTCCTCAGTAAAATCCACTCAGCAAGAAACTGAAAGTTTGAATGTTTTGCTCAGACATGCAGCGGGAAGCTGAGAAGGTCCGACCATAAAACGATCTGCTCTGGTCTGGGACGGAACCGGGCTTTAACCCGCAGGATGGGATGGAGGTGGGGTGGAGGTGGAGGTGGTGGGGTGGAGGTGGGAGTGGGGCTTCCCTCCACGCTGCTGGACTTTCACTTTCCCAATCCTCGCTGGATCTGTGAGGAGAACCGACCCGAGCCGGGGCTCCGAGCCGGGACTTGCGCTGCTCTCTGCCCGCCTGGATGGCGTCTCCGGCGGCTGCGAGGCGGAGGATCCCCCGCCTGCTGGTCCTGGTCCTCGGCGCGCCGCTGCTGCTGCTGCTGGCCTCCGCAGAACTGGTGAGCAAACTGGTTCCCAGCAGCTCGATGCTGGGAACCAGTCCAGGTTCTGGTTCTGCTGTTCTGTTAATCAGGTCAACTTATTGATTAACTATTGGTCAGATTTGATTGAAGTTTCTGTGTAAATGAACATTTACTCTGGACCAGGTGAGTCTGTTTGGATCTGATGATTATTATAAATTAAAACTATTGAATGTTATAAAACTAGTTAAATTGCTAATATTAATATTAATGAAAAATAAAATCAATAATCAGACATACTTATATAAGTTTCTAAAAAATCATAATGAAATATTATATTGACAAGTTAAAATTAATACAAAGGAACATTAATAATGAAAATAACTAACAGTAATAATATAGAACAATTCGCTGGTAAACAGATTTTACTGATTAATATTGTTTTTTTTATCTGACCTGCTTCTCTAGTTTTGTTGTTTTTAAAATAATTCTTAAACACTTTTGTTGTTTAACAATCAGCACGTGCATTTCCTGTCATGCGTAAGAGATCGTCACTGATTGGTTGGTTGTCAAAATGTATTGTTTGAAGCGTTTTGATTGGTTAAGGCACCGGAAGTGCTTTAAATGCGAGGCAAAAAAAAAAACTGCGTAATATTTACAGGTTTCCTCATATTTTGTGAAAATCTACAATTAATCGATGATAATCCAGAATAATTTTCAGATCATTTCTGATCGTTTCTGTCCAAAATCTTTTTGACTTTTTTATGCTGTGTTGAACAAAACATACATTTGGTTCATGTTAAAGCTAAAGTCGCTAAGCTAACTGCTGCTTCGGGACAGAAGAAAACCGAACAGGAACTGGTTCGGAACGGGAACTGGTTCAAAACAGAAACTGGTTCAGAACAGGAACTGGTTTAAAATGGGAACTGGTTCTGAACGGGAACCTTGTTCGGAACAGAAACCGATTCAAAACTCGAACTGGTTCAAACCAGGAACCGGTTCGGAACAGGAACTGGTTTAAAACGGGAACTGGTTTGGAACAGGAACCGGTTCTAAACGGGAACTGGTTTGGAACAGGAACTGGTTTAAAACGGGAACTGGTTCGGAACGGGAACTGGTTCAAAACGAGAAATGGTTCAAAACAGGAACTGGTTTGGAACAGGAACTGGTTTAAAACGGGAACTGGTTCAGAACGGAAACTGGTTCAAAACGAGAACTGGTTCAAAACAGGAACCGGTTCTAAACGGGAACTGGTTTGGAACAGGAACTGGTTTAAAACGGGAACTGGTTCGGAACGGGAACCGGTTCAAAACGGGAACCGGTTCGGAACAGGAACTGGCTCAAAACGGGAACCGGTTCAGTGTTGGATCATCAAAATGTTCGTCTTTTCAGCTGATCGTCCTGCAGGAAGAGAGAAGATCAGACTTTAAGTCCGTCTGGTTCTGAACTCAGGCGGGTCTGTGTTGGTTTAGTTAATCTGTTAGTGGGTCAGCCCTTTGTCCTAGTGTGCTGTTACAACACACACACACACACACACAGAGCTTCCGGTTGTTGCACTGGGTCGTCTTGTCGGTGTTTTCCAACATCCACTGCAAACTAAAGTAGAAAAGTTTAACTCTAATGTTGGTTTTGAAATTATTTCTAAATCATTTTTGAAAATTGAGACAAAAAATTAAAAGGGTGCGGAAAAAAATGAAAAATAGAGAAAAAGATAAAATGAGAGAAAAATAGAAAAATGAAGAAAAAAGAAAAACGTTAAAGGTGAAAAAAAAAGTTTTTACAAATATCTTCAACTTTATTTAGTTTTAAGCCTGGAAAGGGATGACAGGTTTTCTCCCAAACTGAAGACGTTTATGTTCATCTAAATTTGTTGAATCCTCATAAGAATCATAACGGTGTAAATCTGAGGGAAAAATGCAACGTCATGAGTTTTTATCCGGGTCGCAGGACGTGTTGCTGCAGGGAGCAGATTGGAGCGAGATCCGTCTGTCGCCATCTTTATCGCAGGAAGACGACAGTTTCACCTGCTGGTTACAAAAGGCGTTTGTGTTTGGCCCTGGGGGCCCCTGAGACGCCGCCATCGTGAGAACGCACCGATGCACAGCAGGCGCGACAGGAGGAGCTGAATGCAGCCGGGGTTCCAGCAGGAGGAGTTCCTCAGGGCTCCGCACTGGGGCCCATTCTCTCCTGCTGCCTCTCAGCCTGGTGATAACTGATCATATCTGTCACGTTTACCTTCCTTTGAAAAACCGAAACACCTGAATGAAATAAAAACTGATAAAACTGAATGAAATAAAAACTTGGAGATTTGTGTTTGTGATGTTTGCACTGCGAATGGCCTGACCTCTGACCTTCAGCTCATCCAAAATGCATCATTTCTTTTATTATTTATGTATTTCAGCTGCTCATTGTTCCAATTTTTAATTTTTTTATTTATTCATTTATTAAACTGCTCATCTTTTTTTCCCTTTACTTTTGATCTTAATTGTTTTCTGTTTATTTATTTCAGCTTCCTGCCTTTATTTTTATTCATTTATTATATTTAGCTGCGCGTCTTTCATGTTTAATTCATTATTTATTTTGATTCGTCTTTTAACCGGATCACAAATCACTTTTATTGGTGACCCTGAAACGTTTTTTTAAAAATCTTATATTCTATAATGTATGATAAAATATTGTTCATATGAGTGAATGTGTTTCATTTTACTTGAAACTGTTCTGGTTATTAAGCTAAGCTAAATCAATCAGAGCTAAGCTACATTAAGCTAAGCTAAATTAAACCACATAAGGCTACAGTAAGATAAGCTACGCTAAGTTAAACTTAGCATCGCCTGTTTTTGTCTCTTCAGGTCTGTCACTGCACCGGGAAGTCCCGCTGTCACTGCGAGGGGGTCAAAGGTCAAAAGGTGAGCAGGTCTCCTCTTTAACAGGTGGGTTAGAACATCTTTCACCTTTAACATCCGGGCTATAATGTGGTTTCAATTCAAAGCTCTTAATGTATGTAGTCGTTCAACACAAAGGGAAATATTTCCAATAAGCTAATCAGATCAAAATATCACGTAAAAATAAAACAGACTCACAAAAAGGTCAAATATAAAGAATAAAACTGGACATTAAGGGCAACATTTCAACATAAATATTTACAAAAACAGAGTGGTCCGGTCCGGAGGAATGTCCCACTGAAAATGTTTTATTAAAACATTTTCAAAACATTCTTCTATATTTGAGCATTAAGACAAAATGTTTATAATTAATGGGAATAAAAAAGATGAAGAGTGAAGTTATCAGATACTTTCTGGGTTTGTTAGAGCAGTGATGATGCTAACGAGCTGACGATGGGGAGACGCTGTGCCGAAGCAGAAAGTGAGGGGAGGATGTGAGAAGCTCATACATGAGTGTGATTGACACCACTAAGACCCCTGCTCTGATTGGTTGTTTCTGACTGAGCTGTGTATTTCTGCAGTTAGTGCTGGGAGAAACAGGATTATCTGTCTCTTACTAAACCGTGACAACATGGTGACAAAGTTACAAACAGCAGCTTCAGATAAAGTTCCACATAAAGATGTTATTAACTGAAAGGTTGGGGTTGGGGTTAGGGTTAGGGGTACAGTGAGGGTTGGGGGTTAGGGATTAGGGATTAGGGTTGGGTTAGAACTGAGTTTAGTCCGAATGTTCCTAAGGAAATGTTCTGCTGCTCTCAGCCGATTTATCGGACCAGAATTGGCAGTTTTGTTGCTGAAAAACATTTTCCAAACAGTGCGTTGGTAAGGAAGTGGTGGTGATGCTGTGGGCTCTGCAGCAGACAGACAGATATTGTCTGGAACCTTCACTGCAGACATCACATCAGATCTCAGGTCTGATAAAGATAAATGAGCTCTTTTGAGATAAATGAGATCTTTTGAGCTCATTTATCTTTATCAAAAGAGCAAAAGGATTTTAATCTGCTGCTGTTGTGTCTGTGAGAGCATTTCCATGCCGTCTTGGGGCGACCTGCAGGTCTAACTGGGTCAAACGGGGTCAACATCTGATGAATGGAAACGAGACTAAATGTTTTTTTTATCGCCATATTCAGTCATTTTCTGCATGTATTGGTAGTTTGTATTAGCACACTTCCTCTCTATTCATCTCTCCTATAAAAAGATCGGCAGAATAAAAATGTGAGGTGTGCAGCGGTTTGTCTTTGCTGCCGCCTGATTGGTCCAGGGCATCGACACCTGGGACCACCCAGGTACCGACGTCTGAACGGCCCGGTTCCTGTTGGCTGAACATGAAACGCTCGTCTGTTGCCCTGCAGCGTGGAGGAAAAGCTCGCTCTGACTCAGGACAAACCCTGAGTTCAGGAGCGCTGCTGCCCCTCAGTGGACAGGAGGAGAACTTCACCTGTTTTTCTGTCGTCAGGGAGAAGCAGGATACCTGGGAGACCCAGGACTTCCTGGAGTAATGGGATTTCCTGGAAGCGAAGGTCACCTAGGGTCACCAGGAGAAAAGGTAAAATCCTTTTATAATTGTTGTGCAGCTTGAATTTGGACAATTTAAGAAAGTGGAGACTTTTTTCCTGTTGTTTCCTCACAGGGTGACCCGGGAAATGCAGGCAGTCGAGGAATTAAGGGCTCTCGGGTAAGACTGATGATGATGATGAAGCTGAGGTCAAACATCTCTCTGTTTTTTCTTGAAAATTTAATTTAATCTAAAATAATTAGTTTGTTTTTGAAAATTTACATGAATCTACAGTGGCTCAAATCCTCCAGTTAATATTTTGGTCCTTTGTTTCCAGGGAATTCCTGGAAGACCAGGTTTTCCAGGACCTCCAGGTCTTCCAGTAAGTCTTCAGAAACATCATCACTTCGAAAACAATTTACAGACATTTGAAGAAATGGTAAATGGACTGAACTTATATCGCGGTTTTCCAGTCATTTTGACCACTCAAAGCGCTTTACACTAGAGTCACATTCACCCATTCACACACACATTCATACACCGATACGCAGACCGGTAGGCAATTTGGGGTTAAGTGCCTTGCCCAGAGGCACATCAACATATGGCAGGAGGAAGCTGGAATCGAACCTACAACCTTCCGATTGCAAGACGACAACTCTGCCACACAACCACAGTCGCCCAGAATTTGCTAAACATTTGAAAAGGATTATTTAAAATAAAGTTGCTGTCTTGATTTTGATCAAATACATTTTCTGCTGTGTTGCTGCTTTTCATTTTCAGGGCCTTCCTGGACATGAAGGGCCACTGGGTCGACCCGGACTCCCAGGATGCAACGGGACAAAAGTACAGATGGATTTATTTCAGAACTGACTCTGTCCGGTTTGACCCAATTCAGTTTATTTACGTTAAATCCCTACAAAAAGTCATTTAAGACAGTTTAAACTGAGAAATAAAAGAAATAAAACCTCTAGATCTGAACATGCTCTGTGCCTGTAAAGTCTTCATGACGTTAAAATTTAAAATGTCAAAGAAAAAAGAAGCCAAGCAAATCAAGTCAGATTTTTCCCACATTTAATGTGACATGTAGTTAGCATGCTAGCTAATTGTTTAGCTTGAAGCTGTGATGTTTATAAACTAACAAATCCATGTTAAAAATATGACTTTGAAGAATTAACTCATTTTTCTCCTTTGACAGGCTAAATAACTCAAATTATCGCTGTTAAATTCAGACTGTAACTTCACAACATGAAGATTAAAGTCATGATAACGAGGTTTCTGGCAGCAACAAATCTACTCGCATCATCAGAATTTATGTAAATTCAAATAAAGATTAAGTTTGGCTGCAGTTCATATTTTACTACTCAGAGAAAGTGTGAATAAATAAAGTTGTTGGGTGTCAGGAAGATAAACGGGTTCATCATCAGTGTAGAAACAGAGCAGCTGGTTTGGTTTTCCGACCCACAGAGTTTCAGGGAACAGCAGAGTCTTCAGCCAAGTCCTGATGTTCGTCACAGTCAGATCGAGTTGGGTTTGTGTTTTCAGACCATATTTTTATTTAAATCTAATCAATCTGGGATGTTTGGGATCCGACAATCCTGTATTTAGACTCTGACAAATATTTCTGATCCACAGTAGCTTCTTCCCTGCATTTACCAGCAGGGGGCACCGCTAACCTTGTTTTGCTAACTGTAAACCAAAAGCTTTACTCCAGCTAAGCCAACTAGATGTTTACCAGAAGCTAATGCTAAAGCTGAACGCAGTGGAAAACTGCAGTTACAGAATGCTGCGTGTAGCGACCTCTCACTGAGTCGACCAATCACGTCTCGGCGCGTAGTAAACCCTTCAGCTCTCAGTGCATCAACTCAGATGTTAATTTAAGGTTTACTCACCTGAAAACTTACAACGCAGCACTTTAAAATTCACCCCAAAACATTAATTTAGTGGAAGCTAAGTGCAGCTAATGTTAGCAAAATGTTGAAATGCTAAGTGAATGTTAGCTTGTTAGCGTCCTAACAGAATGAGGCCTGCTGTCGTCTGCCAGGGGGAGGCCGGATCCCGAGGGGTTCCTGGACCTTCAGGACCGCCAGGACCACGAGTACGTCCTCTGACTTGGTTCAACTCAAACACATTAAACCAGACATTAGGGCTAACGGTGTGTGTGTGTGTGTGTGTGTGTGTGTGTGTGTGTGTGTGTGTGTGTGTGTGTGTGTGTGTGTGTGTGTGTGTGTGTGTGTGTGTGTGTGTGTTTCAGGGGCCCCCGGGGTCACAGGGCATGAAGGTGAGCCTCACTCAGCCTGCAGATACTCAGCTCGATCTGCAATAATTCAGTCATTAATGAAGGATTCAATCTCGGCTTCAGGGAGACTCGGTCATGATCCCCTTCAGGCAGGAAGTAAAAGGAGCGGCGGGACCACAAGGGCCAACCGGCAGAAAGGTAAACCACTTTTTGTTGTTATTATTATAGTGACTGTTTGTCCAAAAACTCCAGAATAAAAAACTTAAGACTTGAAGGTGATTAGTTTGTGGTAAAACATGCAAAACTTCACTGGAGGCCTGTTGTTTGGTGACCTGATCGTCTCACTGACCGTCAGACTCACTGGTAACAAACGTGACCCGACGAGCAGAAAGATGTTTCTACCTGAAACTCCCAAAATGTCCCAAAATGAAATTAGCAAATTACTAGGCAACAAACTTATTATAAATAACTAAACTTAAACAAAAGTTATAACTATAAATTAACCAGAAAGTAAATTAATAAAGCTAAACCGAATAATTAAAATTCTAAGCTTTAACTGAAGATGGAGAAACAGAGGGTTTAACTGACTGCTTCCTGTTTCAGGGGCAAAGTGGACATGGAGGAGAACCGGGGAAACCGGGTCGGCCCGGAGCCCATGGACTTCCTGTAGGCCTTACATTTGATTTCAAGAAAACTACGTATTTTGTTGCACTTAAAGTGACAGGAAGTTTTATTTTCCAGGGAAGACCAGGACCTGCAGGAATTCAAGGAGAAAAGGTTTGAATGTTTAAGTCGGAGAAACATTTCCTGATGTGAGATTGTTCCAAAGTTTAAATTCTAAAAAACATTTCAAACAAACAACAAATAACATGAATTATAACGTTTCTGTAAACAAACTTTTTTTTTTAAAATCTTTAGTTGAGACCAAAACAGCAGACAGAAGATTCAAATCAATAAATCAGCCAAATAGAAATCATGATTTTTTAGTTGATGTATCGCAACAGGCTGAACTGGTTTCTGTTTTCTGGGTTCTTTAATCTAAATTAGTTCCATTAGTGGTTATTAATGCTTATTAAAGGTTATTAAAGGTTATTAATGTTTATTCATGGTTATTAATGGTTATTAATGATAATTAATGATAATTAATGTTTATTAATTTTTATTAATGGTTATTCATGTTTATTAATGGTTATTAATGTTTATTAATGTTTATTAATGGTTATTAATGGTTATTAATGTTTATTAATGGTTATTAATGTTACAAATGTTTACTAATGGTTATTAATGGTTATGAATGTTTATTAATGTTATTAATGTTTATTAATGATAATTAATGTTTATTAATGGTTATTAATGTTTATTAATGGTTATTAATGTTTATTCATGGTTATTAATGGTTATTAATGTTTATTAATGGTTATTAATGTTTATTAATGGTTATTAATGGTTATTAATGTTTATTAATGGTTATTAATGGTTATTAATGTTTATTAATGTTACAAATGTTTATTAATGGTTATTAATGTTACAAATGTTTATTAATGGTTATTAATGTTTATTAATGGTTATTAATGTTTATTAATGTTATTAATGTTTATTCATGGTTATTAATGGTTATCAATGATAATTAATTATAATTAATGTTTATTAATTGTTATTAATGTTTATTAATGGTTATTCGTGTTTATTAATGGTTATTAATATTTATTAATGGTTATTAATGTTACAAATGTTTACTAATGGTTATTAATGGTCATTAATGTTTATTAATGGTTATGAATGTTTATTAATGTTATTAATGATAATTAATGTTTATTAATGGTTATTAATGTTTATTCATGGTTATTAATGGTTATTAATGTTTATTAATGTTTATTAATGGTTATTAATATTTTTTAATGGTTATTAATGTTACAAATGTTTACTAATGGTTATTAATGGTCATTAATGTTTATTAATGGTTATGAATGTTTATTAATGTTATTAATGTTTATTAATGATAATTAATGTTTATTAATGGTTATGAATGTTTATTAATGTTATTAATGTTTATTAATGATAATTAATGTTTATTAATGTTATTAATGTTTATTAATGGTTATTAATGTTTATTAATGGTGATGTGACCAAGTAACTTACCTGGAGTCGAAGGTTTCAGGCTGAAACTTTCTGGCTTTGTTTCAGGGTCTGGAAGGTTCCAGTCCGACGAGTCCCGGTCCGCAGGGCTGGAAGGTGACCGTCCGCTTCTGACCCACCATAACCGGTCGCCACAGTGACGACCTGCTGATATGTGACTGATTTTCAGGGCGATCGTGGCCCTCCAGGGATCCCCGGGAAGCACGGCATCAAACTCTACGCTGAAGGACCCAAAGAGCTGAAGGTGCGTCTGTTTCCGCTCCGGGTCTGAGTCTCATTCAGCCCCCTGCTGCTGCGCTCCATCATGAAACCGTGTGGTTCTGTTTCAGGGCGAGCCGGGCGAAGCGGGCCAGAAAGGGTTTCCCGGTCTTCCTGTGAGTTCGCTATTAAACCAGCCCAAGGTTTTCAGCTGATGTGATCATCAGACTCATTGTTTTGCCCTCCGCCTGCAGGGGGAGCCAGGGAGCCTGGGGGCGAAAGGAGAGAAGGGCGACAGAGGAGAGCCCGGCTCATTGGTGAGAACCAAGCAGTTTTATAACCAGTAACCAGAATCTGTCAGTAACTTGTTACATTTAATCAGTTACAGTTTCTTCAGTAACGTTTTTGGGGAAAATATACTTTTAGGGGTTTTTCTATTTGAACCCGATTAATTTTATGAAGCATTTCTTCTCTTACTTTCTGGGTTTTCTCCCCACTGAATGGAAAACAGAAATGAACCAGATCCACTCACCAGCAGTTTGTTTTCAAGTTTAATCAGTTTTAATTTATTAGGAAAAAAAGATTTTTGCCTGATTTTGTTATTTTGTAATTATTTTTATGAATCTTTTTGGTCCTTAAAACAACAAAACTTCAATTTAACTTCATATTTTGGTTTGTCTGATGATGTAACTCTTAAATATTAATGATTGATAAGTTGATCAGTACTTAAGTTGATATTTTACCAAATACTTTTTACTTTTACTGAAGTAAAAGTATGTTGAAGTAGTGAAATGTTCTCTACCCCCCTCTGCTGGTGACTCAGGCAGCCAACAGCTAATCTGAGCTAATCTCAGCGTTTTTGTTTCTGCTGCAGGGAAAACCAGGAAAGATGGGATTACTGGGAGAACTGGGACAGCTGGTAAAAACTACAGCCTTTAATTGAACTGCTGAAGTCAACTTCAGGTTTAGATCTACGTTTGATTCTTGTGTTTTAAATGAAACCATAAATGACAGAACAAACGTCATTAAAGGAATATTTTACAGCCACGATTCGATTGAGAATTCATTTGACCGAAGGATCCTGATGATTTCCTGCTGCGCGAATCAGAACAAATGGAGACATTAAAGAGTCTTTTCCACATTTGTTAGTTTTTAAACCTTAATCTTAGTGAATCACTTCCTCCCTGAGGGAGGGCTGCACTTTATTGACTTCATCTTGTGAACTCTGACCTCTGTGAGGCGCCGGTCCAGCTCGGTATTCCTGGGAACTCGGTAAAAACCCAAATTGGCTGCTAATTGTTCTGCGGTCCAATAAAACCGGGTCAATGGAACCAAAACGTTTCCAGCCGATTCAGTTTGATTGTGTGTGCAGGGTGACCCCGGAGACGTCGGCTTCATCGGCCCGCCCGGCCTGGACGGCGCCGTGGTGAGTTCATCAGACCTACAGGCTCAGAGATTCGCTCTGCGGCTCAGTTCACCTGGTTCTGTTGTTTCAACCTCTAGGGAGAAAAAGGCGACCGAGGGCCTGCAGGGCCCCCAGGAGAGGTGAGTGTTCAGCTGAGAGGGAACATTTCTGTCAGGTTATCAGTTCATCATGTCGAACCGAAGGAACAGAGGGTCAGGGGGAACCGGGAACCGTCCAGGGGGACCCGGGAACCGTCCAGGCGGACCCGGGAACCGTCCAGGCGGACCCGGGAACCGTCCAGGGGGAACAGGGAACCGTCCAGGTGGACCCGGGAACCGTCCAGGGGGACCCGGGAACCGTCCAGGGGAACCGGGAACCGTCCAGGGGGAACAGGGAACCGTTCAGGGAGACCCGGGAACCGTCCAGGGGGAACAGGGAACCGTCCAGGTGGACCCGGGAACCGTCCAGGGGGACCCGGGAACCGTCCAGGGAGACCCGGGAACCGTCCAGGGGGAACAGGGAACCGTCCAGGGGGGACCGGGAACCATCCAGGGGGAACCGGGAACCATCCAGGGGGAACCGGGAACCGTCCAGGGGGAACCGGGAACCGTCCAGGGGGAACCGGGAACCGTCCAGGGGGAACGACTGATGTTCTGACGTTGTGCTGCTGGTCTGACCAGAAAACTCTGCTTGTGTTTTTATCAGGTGATCTTTAATCACAAATCCGTGAAGGGCCAGCGAGGTTTCCCCGGGCCCCTTGGACCCGCCGGGTTCCCCGGGATTCAAGGTATCTACATTTTAATTCATTCATACGGCTCCAGAGCCTGTTTGTCTCATGTTCTCTAATGAATGATGGGAGTTATATGTGCATCAGTGAATTAACTCACAGAATCGTCTTCGGTCTTCGCAGGTCCGATCGGGTTCCCGGGACTGAAGGGCAAGTCAGGTACAAAATCAGAGTTCCTGTTGAACCTTAAACTAAACACGATTCATAGCTGCTGTTTTATTAACTGACCAGATCTTCTCTGATCCGTTTGACCTGAACTGATTTATGATTTAACTCGAATTTCCAAGGTAAGAAAATCCAACTGACTTATTGAGACTCTGAGTTGTAAAATAAGTCCAGATGACTCAGTGACTTACTTACTTACTTACTTACTTACTTAAGTAAGTTATAACTTAAGTCATAACTTACTTAAGTTATGAACACTTGAATCTATCCAAGGATTTCATTATCATTGCTTCTCTCTGGGATGGAGTTAGACTTTCCTCCATAGACTCGACCCACTTGAGTTTCTCCAGTCGGTTCTGCTTGGATGTGGCTCTAGCCGGTACTTCCACAGTCCGCCTCGGTCAGATTCGTCTCCATTTGGAAATCCTGCGCAGCTCCTCCGGGTTTTCTGGAACCACCTTGGTGGCGGTACAAGCTGTACCTCCCTGGTGTGGCGTAAGCAGTTTGATTGGCAGGAGGAATTTGTTCATTGGTTGGTGGATTCCTACTCGACTGCCAGCAGTTCCACAATCCAAGATGAAACTGTAGCTAGTTGACGCCATGGCCGAACCCCGAGGTCCAAACCTCAACCGGAACAGGAAACCTGCAACATACGAAGACAGAGTTCAGAGAAGATGGCCGCCCAACGGTTCAGACAGGAAACGGCGTCATGTCCCACCCATGTTCCCACCCTACCAATGGCCAATGGAGGCTTGGTTAGAACCGAACCAGGCATCAGCCGGGTAGAGCGATACCAGTGCAGGAGGACTGGTAACAGTGGGCCAACGCCGTCAGATTCCTTCATTTAGACATGAGCAGGATTGATTGACCCGGCTGCATCCACCCTCAGCCGGATCAGCTTAGGGTCACAAACATCTGACCTTTGGGCGGATGAGTCCAGCAGCGGTCCGATTTGAGTCCGTCCTGAGTGAAGTACGCTCGAGTCAGAGGGCAACTTTCCTCTGCAGACTTGAAGTTGGACTCATCAGTGAGAGACCAGAACTTCGCCTTAAAGACTCAGAGCTGCTTTGGAATGGATCAGGACTAGGTTTTTAACCTCTCTGTTCCAACATGTGTGTCCTTGAAGGTGAGGCCTCCAACGGACCGCCAGGTTCTCCTGGTCCAATGGGCTCAGTTGGACCCAAGGGGGAACCAGGACCACCGGGCCTGGTGGTTACCGGACCGGCAGGATTCACTGGAGCCCCAGGACCTCTTGGACTTCAGGGAGAACCAGGAGAGCCTGGAATACCAAGTACCCCAATGTTCTTTGTTTTTGGCTGATTTTGTTTTCAAACCAGAGAAAGAAAATTGGTAATTGTTTAATGAAACATAAATCAAAACAGTTCAAACTTTGTCTTTTTGTCCCCAGACGTGGACGTCGTAGGACAGGGTGATCCCGGTAGGAAGGGCTCAAAAGGCTCTCGAGGCCCTCCGGGGGACAAAGGGACGCCTGGGGAAAAGGGTGAGCAGATTTCAGATTCATTAAATGAGCCGTTGGTGTTTCGGTGAGCAGAGTGTGACCCGTTTCATCAGGTCAGAAAGGGGAGGTTTGCACAGACTGCCATGTTAAGGCTGGAACTCCTGGACCTCAGGGGCCACCAGGGCCGCCAGGTCAGAAAGGGTTGCCAGGTAAGAAGGATTCCACCTGGTTATTCAGGGGGCAGCGTTTCTGTAGAAATCAAACGCACCCTTCTGGGTTCCAGGTGCCGTTGGATCTTCAGGACCAGCAGGTGATAAAGGCTTGAAAGGAGCTGCAGGCCCACCTGGACCACAGGTGGGTTCTGGTCCGACGCTCATCGCTAAACGCTACGTTTTGATAACAAGGTTGTAAAATGATGAGAGGAAATTGGTTTAAAAAACCCTGAGATGGATGAAATGTCAGACTTTGTCTTCTGATCCGTGGATCACGTTATTCAGCTGATGTGACTTTATCTTTATATTTTTACTTTTTTGTGGATCGTTTTGATGTTGTGGATAGTAAAACGTTTCTCAGTTTGATCCTGTCGTATTTGATGAATGAATCTCCAGCCTATTTGAGCGTCTCTGCCTGTTTCCTCTCAGGGCCCCTGGGGCCCCCCGGGGTTCCCGGGGCCCCAGGGGCCTCCGGGCGAACCGGGGTTCAACACCTGGCCGGGGCAGAAGGGGGAGGCCGGGGACCCGGGCGACGCGGGGCAGCCGGGCGAGGTGGGGCGGGACGGGTTCCCAGGACGGCCGGGTCCAAAAGGCCGAATGGGAGAGAAAGGAAACCCGGTGAGTACCGGAACCGGACCGGACCGAGCCACGTTTTCACTACCGATCCCAGAGCACAGAGAAAAGCAAATGTTTCATTGTAAAACACATAAATGTAGTGAATTATTTAGTAACTTTTGTTCTTCTGACAATATTTGAACATTCTGGTTTCCCACCGTTTGTCGTTTCTAATCCTTTAATTCCAGGTTTCCTCTGATCTTCCTGATTAAAACAAGTTTATTTCATAACAGATTCATAAATTTGATCAAACATTAAAAACGTAAATCTGTTGAGTTACAGCAGTTTGGAGTGAAAATGGAAATAAACGATAAACTGGAGCACAAAGCATAGAGCTGGAATGAATAGATCTAGCTTTCATAATTGGGACCAATAATAGATATTAATATCAGATCAATAGATCTATGTTTTTGTTTTCATCACTAAAACTGATGGCTGTCATGGTAACAGTTGTGTTTCCCTCGTCCAGGGGCCGCAGAGGTCAAAAGGTAACCGGGGCCCACCGGGCCCCCCTGGTGCCAGTGGGACGCCGGGCCCACCGGGTCCACCGGGCCCACCGGGTCCGCCAGATTATCCGGGTCGTCCAGGACCGACGGGGCCCAAAGGAGCTAACGGCTACATGGGAGATCCTGGAGCACCGGGCCCTAAAGGTCAGTTTGTCAGGAGAGGCCTGGACCGGAACCGGGCCCAGAGCGGACCGGGCCCAGAGCGGACCGGGCCCAGAGCGGACCGGGCCCAGAGCGGACCGGGCCCAGAGCGGACCGGGCCCAGAGCGGACCGGGCCCAGAGTGAAGGCTGACTGCTCTGCTTGTTTCAGGAGAGAAAGGCTCTAAGGGGAACATCCACAACGTTCCAGGAGAACCGGGACCGAAAGGCCACAGAGGATGGCCGGGCGAAACCGGACCTGAAGGTAAGAGACGAATCCACACTTTGGTTCTGGTTCTGGTTTTATTTCGTGCTCCACACCGGCAGCCATCTTGACTCCGACTCATTTATGCCAAAGAAACAAACAGATTAAAATCAACAAGTTAATTTATTAGATTGAAATAGTTCAGACATTTTCATGGACTGATCCGGTTCTGTTCTGATCCGGTTCTGTTCTGATCCGGTTCTGTTCTGATCCGGTTCTGTTCTGATCCGGTTCTGTTCTGATCCGGTTCTGTCCTGGTCTGGTTCGGTTCTTCCATGTTGTGTCTGTTCTCCTTCGGTTCTAGGTGAGACCGGACCTCCGGGTCTCAGAGGATGGCCTGGTCCAAAAGGTCAAAAGGGCTGTGACGGTTCCTCTCGCAAGGGTAACCGGGGCAACGCGGGGTCAAAAGGTCAGATCCAGAACAGCACTGGCCAACTTCTCAGCGTTGATTCAGAACCAAAACAGAACCTTCAATAAACGTCCTTCTGCCATCAGGAGACAAGGGGTCCAAAGGAAAGCCAGGGGCCCCCTGCTATGGCATGAAGGGCCGAGCGGGGCCCCCGGGCCCCCTGGGACCCCCCGGCCCAAAGGTAGAGGACGACCCGAACGCCCAGAACCAACAGTTTGAGTCCGTCTGAACTGTTCACTGATTGACTGAACTGTTCACTAACTGACTGAACTGTTCACTGACAGACTGAACTGTTCACTAACTGACTGACTGAACTGTTCACTGACTGACTGAACTGTTCACTGACTGACTGAACTGTTCACTAACTGACTGAACTGTTCACTGACAGACTGAACTGTTCACTAACTGACTGAACTGTTCACTGACAGACTGAACTGTTCACTGACTGACTGAACTGTTCACTAACTGACAGACTGAACTGTTCACTGACTGACTGAACTGTTCACTAACTGACTGACTGAACTGTTCACTGACTGACTGAACTGTTCACTGACTGACTGAACTGTTCACTAACTGACTGACTGAACTGTTCACTGACTGACTGATATACTGAACAACTTCATCTAAGTAGCGACTTGTTGAACTGTTCAGATCTACTGGAAGTGATTCATCCTCAGATCAAACTAAAACTCGATGATTTTATTAAAATGTGAACATTTTGATCGTCGTCTCTCTGACTGGTTTCCTGCTCTGTGTGGTGAAAAGGGGAACAGAGGCTTTGGGCCGCCGGGTGAGGCGGGTGAACCGGGCCCTCGGGGGCCGGACAGCTGCGACGGACCTCCGGGCGACCCGGGACCGCCGGGACGGCCGGGAGTTCAGGGACCCGTGGGACAAGATGGCCGCCCGGGGCCCAAAGGTAGCAGGACGCTCAGCCTTCTGCCACCAAACTGAAGGTCATCCGCAGAAACGACCAAAGTTCAGATTTAGGAACTCTCCTCAGTTTCTACATAAATGTTTAAATCAGCCTGAAGAAATCAGATTCATAATTAGTATGTAGTATATTTATCAGTTCTGTTATTTCAGACGTGAATCAGTAGCGAGCAGCTAATTAATTCATTTCTGCTTTAAAGAGAAGCAGAAATGAACTGGATAGTTCAAAGGTCAGATTTATTGCAGTTTATTCTGAACAGATTCAGACGAAGTTCAGCTAATAAACCACAACTTCTGCAAAAACATCAGGGATCCCGCAGAAATACACTTTATAAATGCAGAAATGAGTTTTAGTTTAAATGTTCAGGTTTAATTCAAACTTTCTGCAAAACCAAAAGTGAAACTTTTCTTTCACTGAACTAAATAAAAACTGATTACTGGGGAAACAGGAAGTAACTGGAACTTTATTCTGAAATAATAAACATCCTTTGATTTCATGTTCAATAATCTATTGATCAGCCTTTCCTTGACCTTTGACCCTCTGACAGACCGTTTATGGCTCCGTTCTCCTGGATCATTATTTATTACGTTTCTTAGGCTTCGACTCCCACAGGAAATTATATAAACATCACAAAACAAAACCTAAAAATGAACCAAATATAAAAACCTGAAACTAATAATTAGCAACTCATTAAAACGAACCGAATTAAACAACAAACAGCCACAAATAAAATAAAGTCATAAAAAACCCAAAACTATCACGACCCTGAACAGGTTCTGGTTCTGGGACCAGAACCAGAACCTGAACCAGAACCAGAACCTGCCGTTCTGCTGCTGGATGAAGGAAAACCAAACTGGTCTGGTTTTCCTTCAGGTCACCGTGGCGTTGATGGGGAACCTGGTCCCAGGGGTCCGTTTGGGCCCTGTGTCCCCGGAGCTCCAGGACCTCCAGGACCACAAGGGCCGGCGGGTCCAATTGGACCCACAGGTAAATGAGCTCAGCTGAAAGCGGACCTGTCAGCTGGATTCTGTCTCCTTAAGATCTCGCCGTGTTCCCACAGGAACCACGGGGCCGCCGGGTCCGAAGGGAGATCCTGGGACCCCCTTCTCGGGAACCCCCGGGCCCATTGGGCCACCGGGCCCACCGGGACCCGATGGAGGTCCAGGGCCGGCCGGGGAAACGGGGCCCAAAGGGTGGAGAGGGAATCCCGGAGAGCCTGGAGGTCCAGGTGAGACGCCAGTCGCGTCGTCGGCTACAGCGCCGACGTTTGGACTTTCGTTGAGGATTTCTCATCAATCGTTTTTCCTGAAAGACGAAGGAAAGGAGCCGTGTCTGTGTGTTTGTGTTTCAGGGCCCAGAGGAGACATGGGTGTTCCAGGGCCGATGGGGCGTCCTGGAAACGCCGGACCGCCTGGGCCCAGTGGAGAACCGGGACCACAAGGTTTTATTTGAGTGGCTGGATCAGGTTTCTTCTCGTAACGGTTTCTCTCTGAACCTTTTCTGCCATCATTCGTCTCTCAGGTCAGAAGGGTCGGGACGGTTCAAGAGGTTCTCCAGGACCGGCAGGACAGCCAGGGGACAAAGGGGAAACTGGACCCAAAGGCTCCTCAACGGCCATTGGGATCCCAGGGGATCCCGGAGACCCTGGATTTCCAGGTGTTGTATCGTCTTGCATTGCGGCCATTTTGGTAGGCGAGAGCAGCACAAAGCACAGCTGATCCAGGCCTCTTGATCAATGTGCCAGTGAAATGAACATCAACAGCTACAGACTCCTTCAGATCACAGAGACATTCATCAGAACAAGTGAGGAAACGCGGCTTGTGAAGCTCGAGGTTCTTGTGATGCGAGAAGGTCAGGAAGACGCCTTGATATCCAATGCTGACAGTTCCTGCTGCTCTGCCTGGACCAGCTGGAGACATTTGACATCAGACTCACATTGTCAGCGCAGAGAAGAACAAACGGCTTTTTGGGTTCTGGTCCTGCAGGGTTCTAGACCTGCAGGGTTCTGGTCCTGCAGGGTTCTGGTCCTGTAGGTTGTTCTGGACCTGCAGGGTTCTGGACCGGCAGGGTTCTGGACCTGCAGGGTTCTGGTCCTGCAGGGTTCTGGTCCTGTAGGTTGTTCTGGACCTGCAGGGTTCTGGACCTGCAGGGTTCTGGACCGGCAGGGTTCTGGACCTGCAGGGTTCTGGTCCTGCAGGGTTCTGGTCCTGCAGGGTTCTGGACCGGCAGGGTTCTGGTCCTGCAGGGTTCTGGTCCTGCAGGGTTCTGGACCGGCAGGGTTCTGGACCGGCAGGGTTCTGGACCTGCAGGGTTCTGGACCTGCAGGGTTCTGGACCGGCAGGGTTCTGGTCCTGCAGGGTTCTGGACCTGCAGGGTTCTGGACCGGCAGGGTTCTGGTCCTGCAGGGTTCTGGACCTGCAGGGTTCTGGACCGGCAGGGTTCTGGACCGGCAGGGTTCTGGACCTGCAGGGTTCTGGTCCTGCAGGGTTCTGGTCCTGTAGGTTGTTCTGGACCTGCAGGGTTCTGGACCGGCAGGGTTCTGGACCTGCAGGGTTCTGGACCTGCAGGGTTCTGGCTGGTCCTGCAGGTTCTGGTCCTGTAGGTTGTTCTGGACCTGCAGGGTTCTGGACCTGCAGGGTTCTGGACCGGCAGGGTTCTGGACCTGCAGGGTTCTGGACCTGCAGGGTTCTGGACCGGCAGGGTTCTGGACCTGCAGGGTTCTGGACCGGCAGGGTTCTGGACCTGCAGGGTTCTGGTCCTGCAGGGTTCTGGACCTGCAGGGTTCTGGACCGGCAGGGTTCTGGACCTGCAGGGTTCTGGTCCTGCAGGTTGTTCTGGACCTGCAGGGTTCTGGACCTGCAGGGTTCTGGACCGGCAGGGTTCTGGTCCTGCAGGGTTCTGGACCTGCAGGGTTCTGGACCGGCAGGGTTCTGGTCCTGCAGGGTTCTGGACCTGCAGGGTTCTGGACCGGCAGGGTTCTGGACCTGCAGGGTTCTGGACCGGCAGGGTTCTGGACCTGCAGGGTTCTGGTCCTGCAGGGTTCTGGACCTGCAGGGTTCTGGACCGGCAGGGTTCTGGACCTGCAGGGTTCTGGTCCTGCAGGTTGTTCTGGACCTGCAGGGTTCTGGACCTGCAGGGTTCTGGACCGGCAGGGTTCTGGTCCTGCAGGGTTCTGGACCTGCAGGGTTCTGGACCGGCAGGGTTCTGGTCCTGCAGGGTTCTGGACCTGCAGGGTTCTGGACCGGCAGGGTTCTGGTCCTGCAGGGTTCTGGACCTGCAGGGTTCTGGACCTGCAGGGTTCTGGACCTGCAGGGTTCTGGTCCTGCAGGGTTCTGGACCTGCAGGGTTCTGGACCTGCAGGGTTCTGGACTGTGGGTCAGACTTGTGAAGTTGCTGCTGCAGGAATCAAAGCCACCTGAGACTTTTGTCGTCTGGTCCTGGAAATGTTCTGCAGCTGCTAGAAGGTCCAGTCTGGATCTGGCTTTATGTGGTTCTGGAGGGTCAGGTCAGAGGTCAGAGGTCGGAGGTCATCCTGTGCTGGTTCCTCTTTGGGTTCAAATCATAACTTGTTAAACTAAACGATGTTTGATCAGCAGTGAAGCCAAACATTTAAAGATTTGTTTCTGGAGTTTTAATTCTCTGTTTGCTTCCTTGATCAGGACCCAGAGGTCTCACTGGGGAAAAAGGACAAGGAGGCCCCCCAGGGAGCCCGGGGCCACCGGGCCTGGACGGAAAGCCTGGAGGTCCGGGGCCCCCAGGTAAACGTTTGGCTGCTGTGCGATTGAGCGAAGCAGTGGACGTCGTTTCCCTGGTTTTCATGAAATGTTTCACGTCTCTGGCTGTCAGGACGTCCTGGAGATCCGGGTAGAGATGGAGAGAGAGGTCCTCCTGGTGGCCCTGGACCCCCAGGGGACAAGGGACGCACTGGTAGACCAGGTAAACGTTTCCAAAGAGCCGACAGCTTTAAATAAGTCAGAAATGAAAACAAACTCCGGGAAAACTGCGTCAGTTTCAGCTCCGCCGATGTTTTCTACAGGCGACCCGGGTGAAAAAGGTGCAAACGGACCCAATGGGCTCCCTGGTTCAGATGGAGGGCCAGGACAACCCGGAGATCAGGGACCTAAAGGAGAACCAGGTTTTGGACCGGGAGCAAAAGGCTGTAAAGGAACGAAGGTACAGAAAAACAGCCACTGTGTCCCGAACAGGACAGAATAGAGGAGAATTCAACCGACACACAGCAACACGACCCGCCGACTGGACCAGCACCGAGTTCTGATCCTGTCCCTCCGTCTGTCCATCGCCTGGGACCTTCAACGGTTCAAACACCCAAACAAACGGCGACTTCTAACGTCCCACCGTCTGTCCCACCATCTGTCCCACCATCTGTCCCTCCGTCTGTCCCTCCATCTGTCCCTCCGTCTGTCCCTCCATCTGTCCCTCCGTCTGTCCCTCCATCTGTCCCACCATCTGTCCCTCCATCTGTCCCACCATCTGTCCCTCCGTCTGTCCCTCCATCTGTCCCACCATCTGTCCCTCCATCTGTCCCACCGTCTGTCCCACCATCTGTCCCTCCGTCTGTCCCTCCGTCTGTCCCTCCATCTGTCCCTCCGTCTGTCCCTCCATCTGTCCCACCATCTGTCCCTCCGTCTGTCCCACCATCTGTCCCTCTGTCCTCCTCGTCCCCTCTGTCCCTCTGTCCCATCTCCCGTCTGTCCGTCCCTCCCTCTGTCCTCCATCTGTCCCACCCATCTGTCCCTCCATCTGTCCCCGTCTGTCCCTCCGTCTGTCCCTCTGTCCCACCATCTGTCCCTCCGTCTGTCCCACTCTGTCCCTCCGTCTGTCCCTCCATCTGTCCCCGTCTGTCCCTCCATCTGTCCCACATCTGTCCCACCATCTGTCCCTCCGTCTGTCCCTCCATCTGTCCCACTCTGTCCCTCCATCTGTCCCACGTCTGTCCCACCGTCTGTCCCCGTCTGTCCTCCCTGTCCTCCATCTGTCCCACCATCTGTCCCTCCGTCTGTCCCACCATCTGTCCCTCCGTCTGTCCCTCCATCTGTCCCACCATCTGTCCCTCCATCTGTCCCACCGTCTGTCCCTCCGTCTGTCCCTCCATCTGTCCCACCGTCTGTCCCACCATCTGTCCCTCCGTCTGTCCCTCCATCTGTCCCTCCATCTGTCCCACCGTCTGTCCCTCCGTCTGTCCCACCATCTGTCCCTCCGTCTGTCCCTCCGTCTGTCCCTCCGTCTGTCCCACCATCTGTCCCTCCGTCTGTCCCACCATCTGTCCCACCATCTGTCCCTCCATCTGTCCCTCCATCTGTCCCACCGTCTGTCCCTCCGTCTGTCCCACCATCTGTCCCTCCATCTGTCCCTCCGTCTGTCCCTCCATCTGTCCCACCGTCTGTCCCACCATCTGTCCCTCCGTCTGTCCCCGTCTGTCCCACCATCTGTCCCTCCGTCTGTCCCACCATCTGTCCCTCCGTCTGTCCCTCCAAACTGTATTTAATGCATAAATGTCGGTTGTTCTACTAAATTGTCAGACTGATCTGCTCTCTTCGATGATGAAAACCATCAAACAAAAACTCATTTATTCTTGGTAGAAACAGATTCTGAAATAAATCCTGTTTCTTAACAGGATTTATTTGTCCAATAGAATAAATAAAAAATGATCCACTGAAAGTCAAAACGACGACTTTGGGGCCAAAGTGATTCACATTCTTGGTCTTTTAGAACCAAGCAGAATTAAAAGTCTGACCGGGTCTCCAGTCCAAACCGAACCCTTTTGGTTCCTACATGGACGGAGAACCAAGAGAAGCTTTAGAGGGAATAGTCAAAGTAACGTTCTGCTGCGCTGCTGGATGATGTACAGTTCCAGAACCAAAGTCCAGGTTCTGTGACAGGCTGCAGTTTATATTCATTCATTCATGTTCTTGTTTTTCCCCCAGGGGCCTCCTGGGCCTCCAGGACCTTCAGGTCCAAAAGGACCAGGAGGACCAGCTGGAGACGTTGGCCCCCCGGGGCCCTGCGGTCCTTGTGGACCTGTGGGATCCGAAGGGCCGCCTGGATCCAAAGGTCTGATTGGTCGCATCATCGTTTCTCCTCTCAGTTTGAGATCTGGGCTGAAAACGTTTCGTTCGCCTGCAGGTTTTCCTGGTGGAGCCGGTGAGAAAGGTTTGGACGGCCCTCCTGGGACCTGTGGCCCTCCAGGGCCTTCTGGAAAACCAGGTACGCCAGAGTCGCTTCACCGGCAGCTTTAAACTCACCGGCTGCGATTCCATTAAATAAGAAACGATTCAAATCTCACATGAATTCATGTGATAAATCATTAAAACGCCTCCATCGTCCGACCACTTCCTGTTGTCTTCTTCATCGTTTCCATCAGTAGTAACATCCGGCTGTCGGTCATGTGACTTCTGAAATAAAAACAAATGTTTCCATTGCAGTTTTATGAAATCATTTCATCTCAGCAGCAAAACGTTTTACTGAAAAACAACTTTATGAAAATCCTCTGAAGCTGCAGTTTGTAACTTTTAAAATATTTATTGATTACATACTTATGGAAACTGTGAGCAGATAATCTGTGAAAAAATCCTCTGCATTCTCCAAGTGCTAATTAGAAAACAACCAATCAGTACAAGGAGGCGGGTCTTAGTGCTGTCAGTCACTCTCTGTGTGGCGCTGCTCATCCCTACTTGCTGTCTACTAACTGCAGCTAGCATAGCCTGTTGTGAAAGGCTATGCTAGCTGCATAGCAGATTATTGGTTTTTCTTTAATGGTGAGTTGATTCTCCACCATTAGCACATTTTGCAGCACGTACATCAGGTTGATTGTCAGCGCTAAGCCCGGCCTCCTGGCTCTGATTGGTTGTTTTTGGTGCAGTAGCAACATTTTCTCACAGCATGGAGATATTTTTCATGCGTTATATCTATTTTCATATTCCACGGTGAATGAAGCTTTAAACTTCTGTCCGACCTTCGTCTCCAGGATGGCAGGGCTCTCCTGGAGCGCCAGGTCCACCCGGACCCAAAGGAGACCAGGGCCGGGACGGGTTCCCCGGGGCTGACGGAGAGAAAGGAGATATGGGCTGTAAGAGTGAATAGACGTACGATCCAAAGCGTTGCCCTGCAAACCTTCACTGATCTGCTTCTTTACCTGCAGCGTGTGTTTATGGACCTGGGGGGCCGACAGGAGGACCGGGCCCCCCTGGTAAGGCTTTGCTTTAATTCTGGTTGGGGTGGGTCCAGAAGGAAGCTGTAACTCTGCCACCCTCCTCCTCCAGGACCCGTGGGGGAAAGAGGTCCGCCGGGATGCTGTGGGCCTCCTGGACCCTCTGGGCCTGCAGGAGACCCGGGTTACAAAGGCACTAAGGGCCCCCCAGGGCCTCCTGGATGTCCTGGGAAGAAAGGGGGAGAGTGCATTGATGGAATGAAGGGATATAAAGGATTTCCTGGACCTAAAGGACCGAAAGGTGGAGAGCTTAGTCTGTTTGACAGCTGAATTCGTCTCTGGATGAAATAAACGGTCAAATCTGTCACTGCGTAGGCCCTAAGGGACCGCCCGGTCCGCCGGGTCCTGGTTACAAAGGCCATAAAGGCGTTAAAGGAGAACCGGGTCTCCCAGGACCACCGGGACCAATCGGTGACCCCGGTCCTTATGGACCTCCTGTGAGTCCCGCCCAGAGGTCAAGTTAAGAGAAAAACAAAGTGAAAGTAGGAAGAAGTGTCACATGTACCTGTTTTGCCTTCAGGGTCCTTGCGGGCCGCCTGGATATCCTGGAGATAAAGGCTGCAGAGGCCCGAATGGACCAAAGGGTCAAATCGGTAAGAACCGCAGCCTGATGGATTTCAGCTGAGCAGTTTGTCTTCCTGTTTGTTTATGATTCAACAAATTCACAGCTGATCTCATCAGAAGCCATTTTAGAGAACAAAAAGATCTGAATCCATAAATATGTCAGATCAGCACAAATAAGATTCCCATGAAGGTTCTTGGATCACAGTTATCATAAAAAGCAGCATGTCATTATGGTAATTAGCACGCCGCCGCTGTTCTGTCTTGGTCAGGAAGCAGACAGGACTGTAGAACGACAGCAATGCATTCTGGGTAGAGAATCTCTGGGAGAAATGTGGCTTCAGAATTAAATGGCGTCAAACTGATTTTATGATCTGATCTTAGAGCTTTGACTCATTGATGTTTGGTCAAAGTTAAATAGGATCAACCCTCTTACTGACCTCAGAGCGCCCCCTGGTGTGTGTTTCAGGTATGGAAGGGGAGAAAGGACCGCCAGGTAACTCTGGCCCAGGTGGACCATCAGGACGAATGGGGAGCCCAGGTAAGAGGAAGCAAGAAAACCTGAGACGGGCCAGTTGTTGGATCGGCTCTGATTAACCCAATACTGCCCCAATCCTGCCCTATTACTGCCCCAATCCTGCCCTATTACTGCCCTATTACTGCCCCAATCCTGCCCTATTACTGCCCTATTACTGCCCCAATCCTGCCCTATTACTGCCCCAATCCTGCCCTATTACTGCCCCAATCCTGCCCTATTACTGCCCCAATCCTGCCCTATTACTGCCCAAATCCTGCCCTATTACTGCCCCAATCCTGCCCTATTACTGCCCCAATCCTGCCCTATTACTGCCCCAATCCTGCCCCAATGTTGTCCTCTGCTGCCCCCTGCAGGACCAAATGGGAAGGACAGGTATGTTGATGTGCGGCTGATACCAGGAGACCCAGGTGAAGAAGGACCTCCAGGCCAAATGGGGGGAATCGGATACCCGGGTTCACCTGGAGCGAGGGGAGCTGATGGTGAGTCAGGTTGCCATGGTTACAGCAGAAACACCTGCAGCTCTCTCCTGATGTGCCGTTTTCCCGGTTCCAGGTTCAGAAGGCTCACCTGGAGAACCGGGTCGGACGGGAAGACCTGGGCGTGACGGACCGAGAGGAGAGGATGGAGAGAGAGGACGAATCGGCCGGAAAGGTGTGAAAACATCCGACTCCTCCTAAAATCACTATGGCAACAAGTGAAACGTCAAAAAGTCGACCTTTGGCCTTTAGTTTCTGACCCGGTCCGTGTCGAGGCTCAGAGTTTCTGCATGCTGAGTTCAGATGAAGTCCAATCACCTGCTTGGTTCCAGGCGCGAACGGAGAGCGTGGCAGGGTGGGAGCCAAGGGTCCTCCAGGTGAGCCAGGTGAGCCAGGTGAGCCAGACTACGGCCCGCCGCCCAGGAGGACCGGCTTCCTGTTCAGCAGACACAGCCAGGACAGCGCCGCCCCGGCCTGCCCGGCCCAGTCCACGCTCATATTCAGAGGATACTCGCTGCTCTTCATCAACGGCTACAGCCGCGCTCACGGACAGGACCTGGGTAGGTCTGTGCAGGTCACAGAGGTCACAGCCTACCTCAGAAATATAGATCATAAGCCTCCCTGTCCGACCAAGCAGACTTAGCATTCTAGAGCCGCACTGGGACAATCTGAAATACAAAACTATCAGAATAAAGTCACAACAGTACTAACAGTAATATTCCAGTTTTGTTCTGATGGTTTGGTTTTGGCCGCCATGCCTCACCGCCATGCCTCACCACCATGCCTCACCATGCCTCACCGCCATGCCTCACCGCCATGCCTCACCATGCCTCACCGCCATGCCTCACCATGCCTCACCACCATGCCTCACCGCCGCGCCTCACCGCCATGCCTCACCACCATGCCTCACCGCCATGCCTCACCGCCGCGCCTCACCGCCGCGCCTCACCGCCATGCCTCCCCACCATGCCTCACCGCCATGCCTCACCGCCGCGCCTCACCGCCGCGCCTCACCGCCATGCCTCACCACCATGCCTCAACGCCGCGCCTCACCGCCGTGCCTCACCACCATGCCTCACCGCCGCGCCTCACCGCCATGCCTCACCACCATGCCTCACCACCATGCCTCACCGCCGCGCCTCACCGCCGTGCCTCACCGCCATGCCTCACCGCCGCGCCTCACCGCCATGCCTCACCGCCGCGCCTCACCGCCGCGCCTCACCGCCATGCCTCACCCCATGCCTCACCGCCATGCCTCACCGCCGCGCCTCACCGCCATGCCTCACCGCCATGCCTCACCGCCGCGCCTCACCGCCGCGCCTCACCGCCATGCCTCACCGCCACCGTGTCGGTCTCCCTACAGGAACGGTCGGCAGCTGCCTGCAGCGTTTCAGCACCATTCCCTTCCTGATCTGTGAGACTGGAGAGGAATGTCGATACGCTGAGAGAAACGACTATTCCTACTGGCTGTCCAACATCAGGAGCCCAACAAACCAGAGCGACCCAGAGGCGGCGCTGGAGTCCAAGATCAGCAAGTAGCGTCAGCTCTTAGAGGAAAACCTCCTGATTCCAGAACATCAGAAAACAAAGCGACTGTGAGGCGTTCCACCTGGTTCAGGTTGGTTTCTGGGTTGCAGGTGTTCGGTGTGCGAGTCTGAAGCCAACGTGATCGCCATCCACAGCCAGACCAGCGCCGTCCCGCGCTGCCCTGTGGACTGGCAGTCGCTCTGGACCGGATTCTCCTTTGTGATGGTCAGTGGGACGTTTCCCTCACAGCTAGAACTGCAACGTTTAGACTCATCACGTCTTCTGTGTTCAGGAAACTGGTGTCGGTGCCGAGGGCTCGGGTCAGCCTCTGGTTTCTCCCGGATCCTGCCTGGAAAACTTCCAAGGAATGCCGTTCCTGGAGTGCAGCAGCAGCTCGGGAACCTGCAAGTACGACAACGCGCTGTACAGCTACTGGCTGGCTGCTCTGGACCCGAACAACATGTTCAGGTAAACCTCCATTCACCTGCTGACAGCATGCTAACAGCATGCTAACTGCTACGCGACTCCCTGCTGGCGCTCAGAGGTTCAACAACATCAGGTGCTGCAGCACCCTGCTGCAGCAACAATAAATCACTCTAACAATCGGACAGATATTGGTTTCCTCTCCCATCAAATGCTAAAAAGGTCAAAGGTTATGCAGCAAATCCTTCAGCTGCTGATGAATCTGAGTTACTTTAACATACGGATGGAATCAAAAGTCATTCAGCTCTAACACTGACATTTCATGATAAGTTAGTAAAACTTTATTTTTAAGATATAAAATCACAAAACATTTTACAACAACGAATAAAAACCAACATAAGTTAAAGTCAGATTTTATAACCCATGGAGGTCAGAGGTTCTGTGTCACCATGAGGACGATTTCTCCAGGTCAATAAAATATTCTTAAATTGCTCTCTAAAATAATCCTGAGCTGCATCAATGTTGGAGTCGTGTCTAAAACTTGGCAGCAGCATGTTGAACATAAGAAAAACAATTAATAAAATACTTTAAAATCAATTTAAAGCCAAATTATATGTGCAGCTATGTTACTGTGTTTATATTATTTACAAATAAATAATATAAATAATCCATTAAAAAGGGTGAGCAGCTTCAGTCGGACCCAAACGACCAGAAGTGAACCGAGGTTAAATGAAACTACGTTCAGATGAACCTCAAACCTCTGAGCCTGCAGTTTCCCTGACGGCCAGCAGGTGGCAGCGTTCTCTGTGGAACTGACTCTGTTTGGATCTGCAGGAGGCCCAGCAGCTGGATCCTTCCAGGGAACAACCCAGACAACATCAGCCGCTGCAGAGTCTGCATGAAGACCATGCAGATGTGACCTTTGACCTCTGACCTCTGAGGGTCAGAAGCCAGGTCGTTCCAACAGCACATCTGTCCCCCAGGACTCCTGTCCTCCGAAGCAGTCAGACATGAGCAGAACCAGAACCGGTTGTGGTGTCGCTTGGTTCTGAGCAGGAAGACGTCGCGTTGCCAGGTTGGTGAAGAGCCGCAGCCGGTTCACAAACTCCTCCTGTTGGTTTGTTTCTCATCAGCAACTTTTAGTCTGAGACCTGAGAAAACTTCAGGATGAGAGTTTAGTTTATGAAGAGGCAGCAGAACGGCATCGGCCAATCAGAGGCCGGCCCGAAGCCAAAGCATCGGCCAATCAGAGGCCGGCCCGAAGCCAAAGCATCGGCCAATCAGAGGCCGGCCCGAAGCCAAAGCATCGGCCAATCAGAGGCCGGCCCGAAGCCAAAGCATCGGCCAATCAGAGGCCGGCCTGACGCTGTCCTCTGCTTGCCTAAAGTCAGAAACTGGTTGAAGATTTTAGGACTTCCTGGTTCTATCAGGAAGTCTCTCTGATAGAAAATCCAGGCCCAGAGCTTCATCCTGCCACCACCATGTCTGACTGTTTTCTGAGTTTTACTGCTGTTTTGGTCTTTTTATGGAACATTTTCCAGACTAAAGCTACGTTCACACAGCAGGTTCAGATTTTTTTAGCCGAAATCCGAATTTGTTTTCTGTTTTACTAATTAAATACAATCCGATTTCTGGTTGAACAGTCTCCAACCGCAAAGAACGATGTTGCCGTTACCCAGCAGCACTCTGTGATCGGGACTAAAGATGGCCGCCGCCATGTGTGGATGGTTCTTAAAGAGGCAGCAACATATAAAATCAAACTTTTAAAAAAATCTTTGTTATAATTTTATTTCCTCGTGAAAAACAAACTTGCAGTTTTGCTTTGATTCATTCATATTTGAGATTTCTCCATGGCAACCATTCAGCTGCAGAACGCCTGGCTGGACCTAGCCCCGCCTCCGAGACAAACCTCCTCCCCCACTCAGCTCCTTCAGACTAGCTGCCAGCAATTAGCAAACAGCTGGTGGAACTGCAGAGCCGCTGCTCAGAGCAACACTGGTAAAAATGTTAAAGCGATAATAGAGGGGCCATGTTGGGATGACTTCCTGGAGGCGGAGCTTCAGAAAGAGCTGGAGCTTCTTAAGGAGACAGAGGCCCAATTTCAAAGTCAGGACCTAAAGTTTGTTTTTAGTCATATTTGGTCTCCAGAGGATTTTTGTAGGAAACCAGCTGTTCTATGAAGCAGTGAGTTCACTGACTCGTTTATGTCCAGATTCACCGTCTGGCTTCTTCTGCGGCTGAATTATGGCGCATCTCGTGGCGACGAAGGAAAAGTTGGACAAAATGTGACACAATTTATGAAAACTATCAAACAATTGAATTCCACATATAGAAGAGGAACAGATCAGATTTTACTGGGAGCGAAAAGAAGGAAAGTCTGATATGATTGCAGTCCCTGCTGTGTGAACGCGGCGTTGACAAAAAACTCGTTGACGAACGCGGTTTTATTGAAGGCGGCGCCTTGTTGGGGTTTTCTGCCTACTTCATGTCGTCATTGGGGTTCTATTCAGGTTCAGACTGAATTGACTGAAACGGTGAGATGTTGCATTAAACGGTTCAGTTTCTCTGATGTAACCAAACATTTTCAACAACAAACCATCTGTGGCTGACGTCATGCTCACGTCTGATTGGCTGAGAGGACAGGAAGTCTGGAAACTGAGACGATCTGAAATGTGCTGTGGGATTTATGACATTTTTATTGTTTTTATTGCCTCTGTCACATATTCACTAACAGTGGCTGTTAAATCTGTAGATAAATCCATAAATGTATTTGAATCAGTTCTGTTTAAATATTTTGTTGTTGTTTTATCATCTCAGCAGAAATGGAGCCAAAACATAGAAAACATTTATGGACTCGACATGAACACAGAAAACATGGAGCTCTGTTTCCTCCTGTCAGCTTTTGGTGAAACTAATTATTTGTTTCTGAGGTTTTAAATCCAACTGAAGTGTTAAATATCATCTTTAAAGATGGCTGACCTCAGCCTGACGCTCTCATTCGGTTCATAGGGATGATTATCTATGGAGGAATTTTACTGCCATAAGTTGACAGCACACATTTCCAGTCTGAAAGCAGGATTTCATTTCTTTGTTCTCAAATCTTTCAAATCTTTGTTTTCTTTGAGTGGCTGTGCTGCATCCAGGTAGATGTTACTAGAAAACCCATTGAAATGATCAAAATCAGCCATTTTTCTGGAATAATGCCGTGACTCTTTAACCCGAGGTAATCAGCAGAGGGGAGGGGTTACCACTTTTTCTGTATATTTATCCATTTTTCGCTAAAAATCATTTTAGCAACTCTTATTCTGTGTAGCAGACTTTCATGGCAGCGAAGCTCTGCAGAAAGTATTTGAAAGGGCAGAAATTTTGAGAGTAAAGATTAAATTCTGTGACTTATGGCAGTAAAATCCCCCATAGTTATCTGATCTAATGGACTTTCAGAGTTTTCTGCGTTTTTCTCATCGTGTTTCCTGCTACAGCTTCCTGTCAGTCGGTTCACTTCATCCTCATGTAAATCTGTTTCTTTGTTTTATTAAAATTTCTTCATCAATCATCTTCTTTGATGTTCACCTGGTCTTCTTTTTTCCACCTGAGAAATTATATCCATGCGTAAAATTAAGTTTATTATATAAATTAGTTTTATTTTCCCTCCTGACGGTCCAGTCGACCCGGTTCTACTGGAACCAGAACATCTGCTCCACCTGCAGCTGCTGTGGCTCTGAGTCAAATCAGTCTGTTCCCCTCCTGGCCTGTGGGGGCGCTGCACCAACAACCACTGCAGGAAACGACACAAAAACCTCTGAAGACACTGAGAGCAACTTCCTTCAACACTAAAATCTGACGCCTCCATCTTGTTTCATCTGGTGAAGGAGGATTTCTCTTTAGGAGGAGCCATTTCTGCTGCTAGCGCTAGGCTAGCATGTTAGCTTTGGCTGTATTTACCCAGAATGCCCTGCGCTGCAGTCCACTTCCTGCTTTTGGAGCGCTCTCTGGTCCGCTTGTTTGCTGGTTTCTGCCTCACAGTGTCGGTCGTGGAGTCGTAAGCAGCAGCAGCTTCACCGTCACACGAAGATGAAACCGCTCTGATTCCTGGACGCCCCTCCTCTCAGTATCGACCTGATGGCGCCGCCACAAACCAAATCTGCCTCATCGTCTCACCACGCCGACATGGGAAGGAAAAAATCTACATGTTACACTTTTCAGATTCAGATTAGCTTTACTTTAGTAAATCTACAAAAAGAAAATAAAACATTACAAATCAATAATTAACCAGTGAATGAACAGGCTGATCTTCCCTGCTGCTCGTCTCTCTGAATGTTTCTGCTGCGTTTGGATCAGCTGAACCAGGCCAGGATTTATTCTGGAGGATCGTCCCGCAGCTTCGCTTTCATCCAGGAGAATCTGAAACTCTGAGCTGAACGTCGGCGACTCGTTCTGCTTCAAACTTTACCTTTTATTATTTCAATAATCTGCATGTTGGAGTGACTCAGACTGACACGTCTGAACACATCACAGCGAGGAGCGGTGATGTCATCGGGCTCCCATCAAGCCCCCGGGTCTGTGTGTGTGTGTGTGTGGGGTGTGTGTGTGTGTGTGTGCGGGTGTGTGCGTGGGGTGTGTGTGTGTGTGTGTGTGTGTGGGTGTGTGTGCGTGGGTGTGTGTGTAGATGTGTGTGTGTGTGTAGATGTGTGTGTGTGTGTAGATGTGTGTGTGTGTAGATGTGTGTGTGTGTGGGGGGTGTGTGTGTGTGTAGATGTGTGTGTGTGTGTGTAGATGTGTGTGTGTGTAGATGTGTGTGTGTAGTGTGTGTGTGTGTGTGTGTGTATGTGTGTGTGTGTGTAGATGTGTGTGTTTGTGTGTAGATATGTGTGTGTGTGTAGATGTGTGTGTGTAGATGTGTGTGTGTGTGTGTAGATGTGTGTGTAGATGTGTGTGTGTAGATGTGTGTGTGTGTGTGTAGATGTGTGTGTGTGTGTGTGTAGATGTGTGTGTGTAGATGTGTGTGTGTAGATGTGTGTGTGTAGATGTGTGTGTGTGTGTGTAGATGTGTGTGTGTAGATGTGTGTGTGTGTGTGTAGATGTGTGTGTGTGTGTGCGTGTGTAGATGTGTGTGTAGATGTGTGTGTGTGTGTAGATGTGTGTGTGTAGATGTGTGGGGTGTGTGTGTGTGTGCGTGTGTAGATGTGTGTGTGTGTGTGTAGATGTGTGTGTAGATGTGTGGGGTGTGTGTGTGCGTGTGTGTGTAGATGTGTGTGTGTGTGTGTGTAGATGTGTGTGTGTGTGTGTGTAGATGTGTGTGTAGATGTGTGGGGTGTGTGTGTAGATGTGTGTGTGTGTGTTGATGCCAGTGGGTACCTAGTGACGGCACCTCGCTGCTAATGTGTTGCCAGGGCAACCACCTGCTGTTAATGTGCTGTTTATTAGCAGAGATGATGAAGACGCTGGAGATGGAAATGTTTGACGACTTTACGATCTCTGGCAGGAATCTGTTTAGTCATCGATCAATAAACAATCAAATCTGTTTTGTTTTCAAACAAAATGATTTTTTGAATCAGACTCAAGGAGACGTTTCACATCACAAATCTGTTTTATATTTCAGCCGTAATGAATCTAAAACTGAGTTTATTTTCTGAATCACTGCAGAACCAACAAAAATAGTTTGAATTGAAAGTGGCAGGTTTGCTGGTCCGTTGCAGACCACGCATATGCTGGACATGAACCGTTAGACTTTAATCAACATAAGCGTTCGTCATCCGGACAGAAATGATCTGACTGGACCTTTTTTGAGCCACATAATGTGATCTATAAAGAGCTGGTAACTGCTCACAAGGAAAATCTGAAAAGTGTGGCATGCATCAGCAGGAAGCCTGTCTGAGTCCGAAGGCTGGAGGTTTGTTGAACATCTCCAATCTTTGTGAAACAGCTCAACCTCAGACTGGATGGAGAAAATCTGATTACATCAGTTTTCAGATTTTACCACAGAGTTCGGCTGGATTTGGATCCGGACTTTGACTAGGCCATTCTAACCCAACTGCTTTGATCTAAACCATCTGTTGTTTTCCTATCAACTTGGACCAATTTCCCTGATAATGGTGCCGCTTGCTAACAGTTGGTGTTCTTAAAGGTGAGGTTCTTAAAGGTGAACTTTTAAACTGGAGCTTCATTTTTATAATCATATATTTAATGTTCTTATTCATTTATAAATGTCAGTTTTAAACATAATTAGTTTTAAAATTCAATGTTTAGCCTAAATATTAAGCTCTGTATGAAGTTTAGCTCCAAACTAAATATTTACTTCTGAGATCAACTAAATATTGGTAAATTTTATGTTGCAAATTAATTATTTAGCCTGGAATGACATATTTAGTTTAACAATATTTTACATTCAGGCTTCAGACTAAATGTTTTTCTCTGATATTAAATATTGAACTGATAGACTAATTTAAAACTAACATTTTAACATTTATAGATGAATGAATGAATGAATGAATGAATGAATGAATGACATGCAGAGTAAATATGAAACTGAAAAATGATTTACTTCCTGGCTGAATAAACTAACTGGCTGTTTTCCATCCAGGATCCAGTTTGACCTGAAGACGATAATCTGAACCTGCAGAGGAATCAACCTGAGGTCTTCGTCTCTTCGTCTCTACGTCTCTACGTCTCTATGTCTCTTCATCTCTTCGTCTCTACGTCTCTATGTCTCTATGTCTCTACGTCTTTTATTCCTTGTAAAGTTGGTTGTGTTTTGAAGACTTTAGCTGATTTAAGTCTCTGCTTGTTGCTGCTGAGTTCTGGGATTCCCTGACTTTCCAGCTGAAGGTTTTGCAGTGAAGTCGGATGGAAGCCTTTGAAGCCGCCATGTGTGTGTGTGTGTGTGTGTGTGTGTGTGTGTCTGGGGGGCGGGGGGGACTGCGTGTGTGTGTGTGTGTGTGTGTGTGCGTGCGTGTTTGCGTGCGTGTGTGTGTGTGGGGGGGGGGAGGGCTGCGTGTGTGTGTGTGGGGGGCGGGGGGGACTGCGTGTGTGTGTGTGTGTGCGTGTGTGCGTGCGTGTTTGCGTGCGTGTGTGTGTGGGGGGGGAGGGCTGCGTGTGTGGGCGTGTGTGTGTGGGGGGGGGGGGGACTGTGTGTGTGTGCGTGCGTGTGTGGGGGGGGGGGGGGGGGGCGGGGGGGACTGCGTGTGTGTGTGTGTGCGTGCGTGTGTGTGTGTGTGGGCGTGTGTGTGTGGGGGGGGCGGGGGGGACTGTGTGTGTGTGTGCGTGCGTGTGGTGTGTGTGGGGGGGGGGGGGGGCGGGGGGGACTGCGTGTGTGTGTGTGTGTGTGCGTGCGTGTGTGTGTGTGTGGGCGTGTGTGTGTGTGGGGGGGGGCGGGGGGGAGTGTGTGTGTGTGTGTGTGTGCGTGCGTGTGTGTGCGTGTGTGCAGTGGGTGGCTTGCCGCCGTGCTTAATGGAGATATCAGTGAGTGCTAATGAAGTCTGCTAATCCTCTGAACGCTCCGTTAATCCCCCCGCATTCTGCCGTTGTCTTTGTGGAGCCGAGCGCTGCGGCTGATGGTTTCTGCTTTTATTGTCTCATTTGGACAGGATGAGGACTAATGGACTTCTGTTTAACTTTAACTCGGCGTTCCTTCATCGCCCTGCAGCTGCCAATCAGCCGCGCCGAGTCACGTGACCCTCGGGGGGAGCAGGCCTCATAAGAGCAGCGGCAGCAGAACCAGCAGCTCAGAACCAGAGCCAGCACCAGGACCAGCAGGAGAAACCCGACCAGAACCCAGTAGGACCTCTTGCTCCTGCTCCTCTTCCTCAGCTCTTCCTCTCTCACCTTCTTTTCCTGACTCTGCAGGTATGCATCACTCTCGCTGTCCCGCCATCTTGGTCCTCGCCGCGCTGGCCGCGCTCAGTCTGGGCGTTTCATCTCAGGTCGACAGAGACCAGGACCCCTACCAGAACCAGAACCTGGACCTGGAACCGGAGCTGCGTCACCACCGGCTGCTGCAGCGAGCCCGCAGCGCCGGACTGCTCTCGCAGGTAAAACCGACCTCTGGCTTCACCTTTGACCTCAAGATGAGAACCAGCTCAGTTTTTATAGAACTGGGGACGTTTTCCTGTTACTGGTTCCAGTTCCAGTTCCTTACTGGCTCAGATTAAAGAGCCCAGTGGAGCTTCTGATTGGCTGTTTGAATCAGCTGTTCTGATTGGCTGTTTGAACTGAGCTCCCTGTCAGGAATCTGCATCTCTAAACGTTCAAATCCAGATTCAAATTTGCTTTAATGGACGCGAAACTTTAGAGGACCAAGAACCGAACCCTGAGGAACTCCAGATCCCATCAAACTATTTAAATTACCGCTATGGTAAAATACTGACTGACTGTAAATTTAGCTTTATTTTCACAAGCTAAACAATGTTTATTGATCAAAATGATAAATCTGCCTCAGAATCTTCCAACATCAGTTTGATGCAAAACATCTGATTTATGACAGATTTCAAATGTAAACATTTATAATGAAACAGTTTCTGTAACGTTAAATGATGGATGTTTCGCTGCATTTTGATGATTCA